TGTATACTTAATTGTTTCAATGCTTATCCGGTTTTTAACCAAGTCTAATTTTGTGCTACAGGGTGATACAACATTTTACTCAAACTCAGATTAAAATCATTTTAATTGGGTAGCAAAACATAGTTTAAAGAAATGTCAAACATGAAACAAATGTATTTAATCAAAAAGTGACAAGATACAAGTTGAGAGATGCAATCTAGATGTTTTGAAAGGTCTATATTTCACCAAAAATTATTAATTAACTACAAACTTTTCATGCGGCATTGTAGTTTTATCTTTATCTAACACGTCGCCGCACCTACGGATTTTTTCCGTTCGGTTTTTAACAACAAAAGATGGTTACATTGACACAACGTCATAATTACTTATCAAATTTTATATGTAGCTGCGATTGAAACACCGAAATTGACACACCTTTGTTATTAGGCATTAATACAGGAAACCCAATGAAAGTAATTGCCTTTAAATGCCAATTATTTTTGATGTTTCAATTTCAAAACATCAACTTAAATAATAAAAAAACTAATACCAAATAATAATAATTTTCGTAGCAATTTTTAAAATTAAAATAAATTAATACTTTAAAAAACTAAACACGTTTTAACGCACTAAAAATTATAAAGTAATTTTTTACTTAAAATAAACTTATCAATTCATTGACTAAGCCAAAAAGCCTGGTAATTTATTTAACCTTTAAATTTACATCCGCCATATTGAAATTGGATTAACGTCACGTCTTCTGCTCGAAAAACCCTTTTATTTGATTCCCATGTCAAGGGGGTTGTGAAGAAATAGGTAGTCCGCCATTTTGGATTTAGTATTGCGTCATTCACATTGTCGTTTTATACTCCTCAAACCCTTTTATTTGATACCATTGTCAAGTGGGTTCTGAAGAAATAGGTAATCCGACATCTTGGGGCGGCGGCCATATTGGATTTGAAATGACGTCACGTCTTCTGCTCGAGAAACCCCTTCATTTGATACCCATGTCAAGTAGTTTGGAGAAATAGGTAATCCGACATCTTGGGGCGACCGCCATATTGGATTTGGAATGACGTCACGTCTTCTGCTCGAGAAACCCTTTCATTTGATACCCATGTCAAGTAGTTTGAGAGAAATAGGTAATCCGCCATCTTGGGGCAGCCGCCATATTGGATTTAGTATGACTTAACTTACCTTATTGTTGTCTAATCGTCAAACCCTTTCATTTGTTACCCATGTCAAGGAGGTTGTGAAGAAAAAAGTAATCCGCCATTTTGGGGCGGCCGCCATATTGGATTTAGTATGACGTCACTATCTGAGTTATGTTTAAAGACAGACAATAAACCGAGTTAATAAAAACGTGTTACAAAAAAATAAATTCCATTAAAAGTTGAAGGGCTCAATTTAATTTCTGCCTGTTAATATTAATCTAACTGTTAAATTTTAAATAAATTAATATTGACAGTATTTACGTCACTGTAATTTTATAGCACTTTACTATATGGTTATTAATACTTTGTAATTATAACAGTAGATCAGCTTGATATTTAATATTAATTAATGATTATTCGTTATGTTGCCATGGAATATTTGACCCAAATAAGTAATTTTTTTAACGCCAACCTGTTCACTTGCACATTGCCAATCCTATAAGTATTCTATTTTTATAACAATTTTTTTATTGTTAACTTGATTAATAATAATAATGTTTTTCTCGGGATTGAACACGGCGTTTTACACCACATGTTTACTTTAAAAATTTGCTCACCTACGTTATTTATCGCAATGTAATGAAAAAGGTGCAACTAACAATAAATTCTTATTATTAGATTGTTTACCAGTATTTTTATCATGTTAGCTTTTATAGCATTTTAATATCAAATTAATTATTTCTCAAGGTTTTCAACACTTTTTAGTAAATATATTTGTAGTTATTTCCCATTCATTTACTGCATATATTGTTGCGTACCCCCATTAAAAACCATATAACTTACGTGTACTAATCTTTAAACCTAACGTATTGTTTAAAACAACTGGAGGAAAAAAAGGAGTAAATTCCGGGATAGAGCTCGGATTTAAGGTAAAGCTGATAGGGTAAAATGTATAAAGAATGTAATGTAATATAGCCTTGATTTGTCTTTTATAGCACAATGCAGAACCATGCTTTAGACCTTTTTCAATTATTTGCAGATATTGAAACTTACGTTCTGTTTAAGGGAAAATATCGATGTTGTTTCAATTTTACACGTCATTTACTTTCAGCCCAAATCTGAAATTGAAAAAGGTAACTTATGCAGTTAAAAGGATTATGTCCCAGTCAAACCGCTTCATCACTTGCTATTTTTACATTTTTACTTATTCCTTTACATTGTATAATAAAATAAAACCATGACTTTTGTACTTATTTTTACCAGGGTTGGCTTGAATTAATTCAGTGATTTAATTCCTGAATTAAAATTATTTCATAAATGGGATAGACTTTTCATTTAACTTATTTTTACCCAGATTTTAATCAAATAATAAAAAGTATTTTTAATTGTATTTAATACTTTTTTATTCCACCCTGCTTTTTACTTTACTCACTTGATACTGACTTGACATAACGGACTCAACAAAAAGAAGTGTTATTCATGAATATAAACCCTTTCAGGCAAACCGAAACATCTTGGTAAATACTAAATAATGAACGGAAAGTACGAGCTGACCAGGCTAATTTCCAAATAAATATTAATTGACGTTGTTAAACAAGTTTTTGCATCAGTAATAAGGGTTAATTTGGAAAGTTGTGACGCCATTTACCTACCTCACTCGACCAACAACAATATACAAGAAAAAATTTAATTTAATTTTTTTAAATTTAAAATAATAGAATGTGTGTTAAAAGTCCCATATCGATCGAGCATTTTGCTGCCAGGTTAATAAATGTCACATCGTTTTTGATAAATACAATTTTTATGTGGATGTCTCTAAAATGTGTTTTGGTACAAGTTAATAAATAAAATTTATAGACACAATGCACAGACACGCAATATATATTTTTAAACACTTAAATGCTATTTTTAATGTTTACGCAATTTTTACTTTTACATGCTATGTTTAATATTATACAGGAAGATTTGCCGCATAAAATTAAGAAAAGTTAAAATTGATGTTAAGAATCTTATTAACATGAAACAGAGGGCAATTTCAGGGCAAAAATATTTTCAGAAGAGATACTTAAACTAAATCTCATTATAGCGCTCGTAAAATGTTTGATTACTTAATAATTCTGCTAAAGTCGTCTACCTTTTTCCCCCTTCTTTAAAAACTTCACCAAATAACATTAATATTACAATAATGTGTCTCTTGCGCCCAAAGACAAACATAAAAATTACGCCGAATACGTAAATTGTTAAAAAGGACATTACATAGTAGATTAATTAAAATGTATGTATAGGAAACACAAAAAGTGAAAGCCTATTCGTTTAATTAGATAACAATTATACACTATTTCCTATTTATTATATGTACAAATGTACATACATACATACATAAGTGTATAATAGCATATAATAAATAAATCGTGATAACACAATTTTTAACACTCTCTTTATCAGTGGCGTAGCTAGCCTCGAGGGGGCCCCGTATCGAAAATCTGGTAGGGGCCCTTATACGGGAAAAGCTGCTGGCAAAAAAATTTTTGGGTGTCACGCCCAAAGTCTATTTTGGGAAAACGAAAAAAATTTTAGGTTAAAAAATTCCTATCTTAATGTCAACCCATGTTAGTTTCCTATCTGGATAACGTGGTTTTTGAATAGGTAATTAATTTTTCAATCAGGTAAGTGTTTAAAAAAATGAAATAAGTTATAATATAAAATAATTATAACTAAAAATCTGTAAAAATTCTTAGGAATAGCTACTATATAGCTACTATATATAGCTACAAGGTTAAATTCTGGCAAGTTTAAATTTTTTTGAAAAGTTACTTTGGCCGAAATAAATAATTAATTATTCAATGCAGAAAACCCTGTTATGTATATAGGAAACTTACACTGCAACGTGGCAAGGGTTAATATTGAGATAGGGACTTGAAACTTGGAAAATATTTTTTTTATTTATTTTAAACACATCAGCAACTGAGAGCAAGAAAATTCAAAAATTCTCAAAAGATGGACCACCTTAATGTATATCCTTTTATGTACAGGAAAATTTTAAAATTTGGTCTGGTTTTAGACATTTACCGTTCTACAGCATCTTTTAAAAGGTTTATATTTTAAAATAAAGGCGTCATTTGAAATAATTGTAACGCTAATAATAATTTCTAATTTGCTATTAATAAAACCTATGATATCAACACGCAAAGCAGACTCAGTATGCAAAGCACAGAACAATATGCGCAGACTGCGCCGCAGACAACGAATAGCGGAAAGGTGCGGGCAGAAACAATTCGTATGAGTTCACGGCCTTGTTGGTTTAATTTAATAAATCGAAGTATAAACAATTAAATAATAATATTATTTATTTATTTAATTTCATGTTTCAATTTTTTTAACATGTGGGTAATATGTTTTTTCTTACGCATGTCGAAGCCAATCGGGGGCCCCCCCTAGCCGGGGGCCCCGTATCATTGATACGGCTGATACGGCGGTAGCTACGCCCCTGCTCTTTATACAAGGTGTCATGCCATAGGGGAGCATAAATATATAAATAAATAAATAACAAATTTTTGTATTAAAATAAATCTTAATGTTATTTATTATTTTTGCAATGTGTAAAAGGTATATATTGGTAATTATCGTAAGAGAACGAGCTAAGCATGGTAATGGGTAATAAATTAAACGTTATTTGCAATAGTTTTGCGCAATATAAAATATATAAGATTACGGTGTGCTGTTAGAAATCTTTTTGCAAAAGTTACTCATTTACAATTGATTTCGAGTCCTTGGCATGTTTCTCTATTACTTATAAACATCCGCCTGTTTGACCGTAATACAGGGTGTTCAAATTTAAAAAAAAATTATATATTATTTTTATTGCAGAACCATATCGATACATGTATGAAACTGCTTACGCTTGCGAAGGAAAAACACTAAAGATCGAGTGCAAAGAGGGAGAGCTGATAAAGTTAATAAGAGCGAATTACGGAAGATTTTCGATAACAATATGCAACGACCACGGAAACACCGATTGGAGCGTCAATTGCATGTCCCCAAAGTCCTTGCAAGTTTTATTAAGAAGGTATGAAGTTTTCTCATTTTACATTTTTTACATTTTTGTTACTAACCTATGTTTGTCATCATACAACGCCGTCCTAATATGTACTAACCATTATTGTAAGGGCTTATTGTAAAATTATTCACAAAAAAATTAAACTTAAAAATATGGCTACAAATTTTATAACTTTAAAATGTACAATTTTAACTTTTTGCAGAGCAATAAAACGTAAGCATTTGGAATTTGTTACCTTAAAAATAAACAATTTTGACGCTTGAAACTTTAAAATGTAAACATTTCGAATTTGTGACCTTGAAAATAAAAATTTTGACATTTACATATAACCTTAAACGGTAAAATTTTTATTTACAAAAATTTCGAAATTATGGGTACAAATTTAATAATGCGGTTTATATAGCTTGAAAATATACAATTTTAACATTTGTGACCTTGAATATGTACAATACTTAAAAAATGTGCAATTGTAACATTGAATCCTTAATCGTTTTTGCATTACTAGATATAAATTGTACGATTTTAAAAATAAAGACTAAAATGTACAATTTTGACATTTATGTACTGTAATACCAGTACTGTGACCTTAAAATGTAAAATTTTAACATTTTTGAATTTACAGTTTTAACATTTGTGACCTTAAAAGTACAATTTTTATTAAAAAAAAATACGAATATATGGGAACAAATTTAAAAATGCATTTTTATAGCTTTAAAATTTACAATTTCGATATTTGTAACCTAAAAAATGTACAATTTTAACATGTGCAATTTTGATATTTATAACCGTCAAAGCGGTTTATATAGCTTGAAAATATACAATTTTAACATTTGAGACCTTAACAATAAATTGTACGATTTTAAAAATTGTACGATTTTAAAAATTGTACAATTTTGACATTTATAGCCATGAAAATTTTGACTTTACCATTTGTGACCTTAAAAGTACAATTTTTATTTACAAAAAATACGAATATATGGGAACAAATTTAATAATTACAATGTTGACATTTGTAACCTTAACAATGTACAATTTTAACTTGTTTAACTTTAAAATGTGGAAATTTTTATATTTATGACATTAAAAACTTTTATTAAAATGTTATCACAATTTTATGTACTTTTGATATTTTTAACCCTAAAAATGTACAATTGTATTCACATTTGTAACCTTTAAAATCCATAATTTTTGTACAATTTTACACCATTTTCAGGTTAAAATTGTGAAAATCGCACATTTTTTTATTTAAAATTTGTATAAAAATTGTATGTTTATTTTCGATTGTTATTTTAAAAATTACCAAAAGATAATCTTATGTACATTTTCTTAGTGTGCGCTAGGAGATTCATTATTTTGCAAAGTATCCTAGTTTTCTTGATATATTAATTTAGTCTGACTAAGAAATTCCTTGCATATTTATAAAGACTTCCTGAATAATTTTGCAATAATTTACTTTGCACAACTAAATTTGTAGCTGTTTTTAAAGTAAGGCTTATTTGTATCTGTCAATACTGTATGTTATATATGAAATTCAATACATCATTCGCCCTGAGGGTTTTTTCAATTGAAAATTTCGCAACTTAAAAATCAAAAATCAAGCTCATGTTTGTGTTCGGCTTTTGTTTGCGTTTTCCACGAAGCATCACATCATATTTTTTTGTGTGTTTTTAACAAAATAATAGCATGAATTGGATTTTCTAATAATTAAAAATCCTGATGATTTTGACATAAGTCAGCTTGTTGTTGGGTATGAAAAACAACGTATCATGTTCCATGTCTTTTTTTTAGTTTGTACGAAACAATACGTTTGTTATCTTTTTGAAATTGGCTTACATTCGTACGTATTTTTAAATACACTGATAAACATTTATATTGCATCACCCCAATTGTTCTGAACTAAAAATTATTGGACAATAATCTCCACAAATCATTATTTCTTGGTTTAGAGCTATATTAATAGGGTTGGTGCAATATGAGGGTATTGCAAAAATTGGGGCTTTATGCTTTTTTGTTATTATGTCAGCTTCATTATCAAATCATCATGCTTTTGGGTTTTACATATTTTTTTTTTATTTTTTTTTTATTTTCTATAATATTTCAGCTGCATTCAAAACAATAATTCCTCATGTATAATCGATGTTAATAATGATACATTTGGGGATCCATGTCAGGACACATACAAATACATTGAAGTACATTATTATTGTGATGGTAATATTTTGTTTTTGATTTTATTGGCTTTCCTATAATAATAATAATAATAATAATAATAACATACATTTTTGACAGAGGAGAGGAAGTATTTTATAAATTTTTGCCCAAAAAATACCAGTTGCAATAATAACAGCTCGAAAAAATTGTATTGCAGGTGAAAAGTCATTAAATTTTTGCAATTTGTTGCGGCGCGAAGGTAAATTTTTCGCTTGGACATTAATAAATGTACGAAACCTAATTTCATAGAGTACAGACATCACATGTAGTTAAAAACTTTTTGAATGAATACCTAACTATTTCAATGAAATTTATTAATGAAATAAGTTTTAATTGCGTTATTTTGTAAAGTTATTTATGCGATGAGACCGGATTTGAGTTTTTCCTGCACCAACAATAAATTAAAATAGAACGAGATTTAATAAATTTTACGTGTTTTTAGCCACTAAAAACTAGACGGGACATTAATTTTAACTAAACTGTTTTTGATGTAGGAATAATGGATAGCCGTTTTTTGGCACACCCTGTATAATTAAATACAAACAATTTTACCATTCAGAATCCATTAAAATTATTTTTTTATTTTCATGGTTTTATATCATTTAGGAAAACGTGGTTTTCTGTTTTAAAATTATTGTACAATTTGAATAATATTTTAATTTTAACATGCGTTTTATTAAAAATGTACTTCTATGACAATTTGATAAACTTTTGACATTTGTAATCTTGAAAATTTGACCTTAAAAATCATAGTTTTAAAATGATTAAAGTAAAAAATGTGCAATTATTGATGTTTTTGGCATTTGTGACCTTAAAAATGTACAATTTTATACACTTTTGACATTTATATCTTTTGACCTTAAACACTACACAATTTTTGAATTAAAAAATGTACAACTGTTGGTGTTTTGGATATTTCTTTAATTTAAAAGCGTTTGTTTTTAAAATGTACTCTTAAATTTACAATTTTATAAATTATTGGCAGATAAACCTAAAAAATGTACAATTTTGACCTTGTTATTGTGTTAAAAAGTTTTTAAACTACGCAAATTGTATATGTACATTTAAGGCTTTTGTGACCTTAAAAATGTACAATTTTATGCAGTTCAGATATTTTTAACGTTTATTATTTACATTTTTTACAATTTTTGACATTAAATATTGAACAATAGTTATTTTAAAAATAATAAAGTTAAAACTGTACAATTTTGGCTGTTTTTGACATGGGTGACCTTGTACAGTTTTATAGGTTTTTGACTCTAAAAATGATTGTTAAAGAATTTATTTAATCCTGTAAATTATTACAAGCAAAAACTGGTTAATACAAAATTTTGACGCTCCCCGTATATTTAAAGTGTCCATGATATCCTTATCTGGTACTTAAGAACGCATTAAAGACAAGCAAATAAAAAATGCATTATTCTTTAATCGAGCAACTTTTTTATTTCACCTGGTATAATGCAAAAATGCAGTAGGTAGATTTACATTGTGCAAAAGATTAAAATCGGAAATATTCCCAAACGTTATAAAAAACATCTGTTGCCTATATATAAAATACAATAAGCCTGAAAGATGAGAAAAAAACAAGCAATACAAAAACTACCTAAAGGACCGGTGTTGTACATTGTAGCGTATAGCGGCTAAATTACGGAATAAAGTGTATTTTTCGCCGTGATGAATTTAACAAGTTTTAAATTCATTTCCACATTTTTTCAACTGCCAAACCGAAATATTTACAATGCAGCACGATTGCATCATAAAACAATTGCACAGCAACGTTGCCATATCTACACAATACGCTTAAAACTGTGTATCGTGCTGCTGCGCATCAGATAGGCTGCGCAATACGAAAAGCACGTTATTCCGCTGATTTTCCGCGATTTAAAGGATAAATGTTAAAAGTTTGTGTTGTACATGGCAGATGTACGCAATATCAAAACTGCAGTATACCTGCAAGTACGAGCATGTTCGGAGATCCTTGTCCAGGTACACATAAGTATTTGGAAGCTCATTATCAATGTATACCGGGTAAGTAACCAACAAAACGACAATGGTAGTTTGTTTAATATGTGGTTTTATGGTTTGGGAATAATAATTAGCATATTTTAACCGACAAAATTACTTAAAAATTTATACCAAGATTAAATTCAGGAAATCAGACATAAAAGTTGATATTGATGAGAAATTCATACTAGTTTGGAATAAATTAAATCGTTTAGGTAAATTTTTAAGTAATTTTTGTCTTTAAATGTTTTTAAACCCCCATGTACACAAACAATTTTTATATCCAAAACTTTTATACATTATTTAATATTTTAAAGGAGATTTGCACATACAGATATATCCATTAAAATGTCACCAGAAACTGATTTAATTACATGTCTCTAAATAAGTTTGTTGAATATTTTAAAGATTACCTATTTGCTTTTCTATAAAAAGCATTAATTTTAAAATTTTCTGTCCACTTTTGCCACCGAATTTGATAAAGTTGATTATAATTTAATGTAATATCAATTTGTTGAGTTTGACTAGATTATATCAATCAAAGAATGTTGTTTGGGGGTAAAAGCAATCCAATTTAAAACTTAAATTTTAGCGCGCAATTTAATTATTGTGCAATTTTCTCTTAACACTTATAACTGAATTTTGTGTGCATGAACCTTTTAAATATGCCAGGGTAAATACTCATTTTACTTCCATATTGATTTTAGTATTATTTTTTGTTTAGTTTGCTTTATTTTATATTATACATTCATAAGTTATCGAAATAATTACGTTATGTTAATTTTTCTAATTTTATAACTTCCTCGATTCTTTCCAAACAAGAAATTGTGCATGTTACATTAATAAGACTTTTTCTAATTTTAAAAATTCATTAAACTCTTAATCAAAAATATTATTAATGTGTCATGGCGATATCTTTCAATAAAATAGTTTACATAATTCTGAGTCAATGGAGCACCTCTCAATAAAATTCTTATTTCTCAATGATTGATGAAATTAATTCAATATTTCGATCTAAAAATTTAATTAACCTTATTTTATTTTTAATCCAGATTTAACAAGCATTTATTTTTATGGGACGAGATTCAGTTCAGACAGTTGAAATTTAATACCAGATGTATGAAAATTCATCATTAATTCATTAAATTTAATCCGATTGTTTTAAATGTATTCTCGTAAAAATTGGAAATAATGATTTTATTGGAATAAACTCGATTAGTTAAAGTAACACAGATTGTGTATGGACTCAGAAAACATTACACATACATTAATATAATTTGGCAGTTTAGTTGTTAGTATATTTGGTTTCCACATTTGACACAAACAATTATTATAGCAACAACCACCACAACAACAGTAAGACCTAGTCCACCGTGGCTAATAACGTCACAATCGCCCATGTGGAGTACAATAAAACCTTCGGCTCGCCCCGCACCTGCACCGCAAACCCCTAAAGTTTCAGTAACCCCAGCAAATCGCCCGACGCCGTCGACAACGGCTAAAGTGGCCACCGCGCGCGCCAGACCTCAGCCCAATCAACCGAACGTCAACAATTCCTCCCGCACTCCCGTGGCCTCGCCGCCCAACGAAGAAAACAACACCATCCCCGATGAGATTACAACTTTACCCTATACTACTACCGCCCCCAGAAAAATTACATGTAAGTCGTCCTCCGTACTTTTTTTGCCATGCCCTGGTAATCTTGTTGCAATTGGAGTAAATTAAGTTTTTTGAAAATTGCTCACAAAACATTTCAATTCGTTGTAACTCTCGCAATACTGATACTTGAAAAAGGACAACGTTGGTGATATGTTAAACAAATATTAGAAATATTCCCCAACACCAAAACAGAACACAAAGTGCTTAAAGTACTTTTCGCCAACGATGTTGGCATCTTCAGAAGCGAAGTGTAACTGATAGTATAGCGATCCTGGTCACGGCACCAATTGGAGAAAATATTTATATAGCTATCTTGTTAACATTCTTAAGAGAGTTGTAGTTAGCTTTTTGACATTCTTAAGACTGGTATATTTTGCTTAAATTAACATTCTTGAGACAGTTTTAAGGCAGTTATGGCTATCTTGTTGACATTCTTAAGACAGTTTTAGCTATCTTGTTGACATTCTTAAGACAGATATATTTAGCTTAAATTAACATTCTTAAAACAGTTTTAATGCTAAGTATAGCGATCCTGGTCACGGCACCAATTGGAGAAAATATTTATACAGTGCTTGCAAATCCAAGTCCGACCGCGTTGGGAAGGATGGTTGTTCAATACCCGCGTGAAAAGAATAAGGATAGAATGCCAAACAGAATTTGATTGGTCAGAGCGTCAGGCGTGCGTATTGTAAGCGCCTTCTGTTTGGCGTTCTATCCTTGTTATTTTCACGCGTCCTTCCCAAACCGGTCGGACTTGGATTTGCAAGCACTGTATAGCTATCTTGTTAACATTCTTAAGACTGGTATATTTTGCTTAAATTATCATTCTTAAGACAGTTATAGCTATCTTATTGACATTCTTAAGACAGTTTTAGCTATCTTGTTGACATTCTTAATACAGGTATATTTAGCTTAAATAAACATTCTTAAAACAGTTTTTTATGTTAATTATAGCGATCCTGGTCACGGCACCAATTGGAGAAAATATTTATATAGCTATCTTGTTAACATTCTTAAGAGAGTTGTAGCTAGCTTTTTGACATTCTTAAGACTGGTATATTTTGCTTAAATTAACATTCTTACGACAGTTATAGCTATCTTATTGACATTCTTAAGACAGTTTTAGCTATCTTGTTGACATTCTTAAGACAGGTATATTTAGCTTAAATAAACATTCTTAAAACAGTTTTAATGTTAAGTATAGCGATCCTGGTCACGGCACCAATTGGAGAAAATATTTATATAGCTATTTTGTTAACATTCTTAAGAGAGTTGTAGCTAGCTTTTTGACATTCTTAAGACTGGTATATTTTGCTTAAATTAACATTCTTACGACAGTTATAGCTATCTTATTGACATTCTTAAGACAGTTTTAGCTATCTTGGTGACATTCTTAAGACAGGTATATTTAGCTTAAATAAACATTCTTAAAACAGTTTTAATGTTAAGTATAGCGATCCTGGTCACGGCACCAATTGGAGAAAATATTTATATAGCTATTTTGTTAACATTCTTAAGAGAGTTGTAGCTAGCTTTTTGATATTCTTAAGACTGGTATATTTTGCTTAAATTAACATTCTTACGACAGTTATAGCTATCTTATTGACATTCTTAAGACAGTTTTAGCTATCTTGTTGACATTCTTAAGACAGGTATATTTAGCTTAAATAAACATTCTTAAAACAGTTTTAATGTTAAGTATAGCGATCCTGGTCACGGCACCAATTGGAGAAAATATTTATATAGCTATTTTGTTAACATTCTTAAGAGAGTTGTAGCTAGCTTTTTGACATTCTTAAGACTGGTATATTTTGCTTAAATTAACATTCTTACGACAGTTATAGCTATCTTATTGACATTCTTAAGACAGTTTTAGCTATCTTGTTGACATTCTTAAGACAGGTATATTTAGCTTAAATAAACATTCTTAAAACAGTTTTAATGTTAAGTATAGCGATCCTGGTCACGGCACCAATTGGAGAAAATATTTATATAGCTATTTTGTTAACATTCTTAAGAGAGTTGTAGCTAGCTTTTTGACATTCTTAAGACTGGTATATTTTGCTTAAATTAACATTCTTACGACAGTTATAGCTATCTTATTGACATTCTTAAGACAGTTTTAGCTATCTTGGTGACATTCTTAAGACAGGTATATTTAGCTTAAATAAACATTCTTAAAACAGTTTTAATGTTAAGTATAGCGATCCTGGTCACGGCACCAATTGGAGAAAATATTTATATAGCTATCTTGTTAACATTCTTAAGAGAGTTGTAGATAGCTTTTTGACATTCTTAAGACAGTTTTAGCTATCTTGTTGACATTATTATGACAGGTATATTTAGCTTAAATAAACATTCTTAAAACAGTTTTAATGTTAAGTATAGCGATCCCGGTCACGGCACCAATTGGAGAAAATATTTATATAGCTATCTTGTTAACATTCTTAAGAGAGTTGTAGCTAGCTTTTTGATATTCTTAAGACTGGTATCCTGAGTTACACTTCGGTTCTGAAGATGCCAACATCTTTGGCGAAAAGTACTTTAAGCACTTTCTGTTTTGTTTTGGTGTTGGGGAATATTTCTAATATATGTTTCTCACAATACTGTTCCAATTTTGATGAAATTTTGGCCAATAACAGTTTTTCTGCTACAATCACTTTCAGATGAAAGCACTCTGCCAAACACGGACATATCACCTATGGTACCTAGCGTAATACCTATATCAACAGATGATGAATCCTTACCAAATCACTGCAGCTCGAAGACAGTGCGCGGTATTTACTGGAATCGCACAAAATTGGGCGAAAGTAAGACCCTGAACTGCCCCGATGGCACTCAAGGTTTCGCCAAGTGGTCGTGTTTGGAGGTGAACTCGACTCCGCGATGGTCACCGGAGTTTCCGGATTTAAGCAAGTGCAAGTCGGTGTGGTTGACAAGTTTGGATAACAGAGCTGGAAGAGATCCGCCAATTTCAATAGCTAGCGATTTGGCTAAAGTGACCAGCAGCAAAACCTTGTATGGTGGCGATATGATCATTACGACCAGGATTGTGCAGAAAATGACGCAAAAAATGTCGCAGGATATACAAACTTTCCCCGATACCAGACAAAGGGAAGAAATTGTTACAGAGCTGCTGGAAGATGTGGCCAAAACCGGTAGCAACTTGCTCGATCCCTCGCAACTGCCATCATGGAGGGATTTGAGCTACAAGGAGCAAATGAGTGTTGCTACCTCGTTGCTCATCGGTCTTGAGGAAAACGCTTTTCTGCTCGCTGATACTGTTATGAGCAATAAGGTTGTCGATAGGGAGTTCAAGAATATATGTAAGTAGATTTTTTTTTTTTGGATTTTTTATTACTTCTTTAAGCAATAAACCAATAAGAGTATTGCTTTCTATACTATATTCTCTAGAGTAAAGTAGCAAATTTTGAAGCTACTAACAGGATTAAGAAACCCATTAAAGTATTGTTATACTTCTTGGCGAAGAAATGTTAAAGCTTTTAATAAAATTTTATATTGCAAACACGTAAATTGCGAAAGCGTTCTGTGCTAATAATTTTAATCCCTTTTTGAACATACTTATTAAATTGACAAAATGTGTAATAATTCATCCTGGTAAAGCCCAAAATTTAATATATTAGAATGCGAAGCTTAAAAGATTAATCCTAGTTAACATAAATTGGCCGCAAAGAGGGCAAATTATGGTATATTAATACCGCCCATTGGTTTAGTAGAAAAAAAATACATTTTTAATTATTTTTTGGAATTAATATCGACTATACTACGCCCTAAAAACATTATTTATAATAAATTTATCAAAGCTTATGTCATGTAATTAACACGTTATCTAATAACGACCTCTGTTTATGATAAATATGTTTGTTGATTTACCACACACTGAGCTTTACTTAACAAATAATTTCTTCGACAAAGAAAACATTTTTGCATTAGGTTTTAATCAAAAGCAGGGTCACAAGTAAACAACTAACATTTTATTTAATGGTTATGAAATTTATTAGTACTTATCACTTACTATATAGTAGGCGTATTTAAATTAATTTTTCTACCCTTATTGGAATGACATATATTCCTTAAAGTGTTACAGAATGAATTCTTCTATTACCGGATGACGAAATAAACACTGGTTGCGACATCTAACAAATGATTTTAGGCTACAAAACTTTGTATTTTATTCAAATTGTATAGATCTAAAGTGGTGCTTTAATTTTGCTTATCAGTTTATATGCACTACCGAAATATTTGAAAAATGTTCATTGTTATGCGGTCCGCGGTTTGATCGATGACGCCCGTAACAATAATTCATTGCAATGAAATATGGTGTTCATAAAACTGTTGTTTCGTTTGCAGTATTGTCAGTCCGCGTTTTAGACACAAAATCTCTGAGCACGGAAGTTTTCCCTTCGAACACGAAAAACAAGTGGATTGGCAGCAATGACTCCATCGAGCTGCCTAAAGGTCCGCTTTTGGAGAATAGCGACGGTAATTTCGTGCGACTCGTCTTCATCGCGTTCGACAGGTTGGAGGAGATTCTTCAATGGCAGCCGGATAACGCCGATCCGAACTCCAACAAAAACGTCACCAGGATATTGAACAGCAAAGTAATATCGGCTAGTTTGGGGAAAGGCAGGCATATTCAGCTGAGAGAGCCGGTAAGGCTCACCCTGAAGCACCTTAAGGTGGAGAACGTCAGCAATCCCACGTGCGTCTTCTTGGACTACACCACCAATAGTTGGAGCGAAGAAGGGTGTCACGTGGACACCCAGGCGTCCAATAATACGCACACAGTCTGCCTGTGCGATCATCTAACAAACTTCGCCATCTTAATGGATGTCCACGCCATCTATCTGCCGATACAGCACGAGATTTCCTTGCAAGTTATCACCTACGTTGGCTGTATTATTTCCGTGGTTTGCCTTGTACTTGCAGTGATTAGTTTTTTAGCCATAAAAGGAATCAAGAGCGATCGGAACACAATACATTGGAACTTGTGTTTATGTCTCCTAATAGCTGAAGTCATCTTTCTAGTCGGTATCACTCAAACCCAAAATAGAGTACTATGCGGCACAATAGCCGGGCTACTGCAATACTTTTTCCTCTGCGCCTTCATGTGGATGCTTCTTGAAGGTACGTCGCAAAATAAACCATCTCCATCAAAATACAACAACTATATTTCAGGTTTTCAACTCTACGTTCTTCTAATCGAAGTGTTCGAAGCAGAAAAATCGCGCATCAAAAAATATTGCTGCTGCGCATACATAATACCAGCCCTCGTCGTCGGAATATCGGCTTTGATCTACCCCCAAGGCTACGGCACTGAACGACATTGCTGGCTTCAAACCGACAATTATTTTATTTACACGTTTGTTGGAATCGTAATGGTTATTTTAGTTGTAAGTACCAAAATCTATTTTTTCACATCCGAGAAGTTTTCGGCACATGGAACATTCTGGAACATTCTAGAATGTTCTGGAACATTCTAGAATGTTCTAAAATGTTCTGGAACATTCTAGAATATTCTGGAACATTTTATCGGTTCTGGAGACATTCTGGACTTTGTTTATAACATTATAGCATTCCAGACTTTTTAGTAACATTTTTGTAAAACCATTTTATTTTATTTCAGTTAAATGTAATATTTTTAACACTAGCAATAGTAATGATGTGTCGTCATGCTAGTTCGTCAGTATCGATGAAGAATAAAGAACATTCCAGACTTGCTAGCACTAGGTGAGTTTCACTGTCTTTTTTTTTAATAAAGTTGCATAAATTATTGCATGTTTATTGCACCTGGTGGGTTTTGGATCTCTATTGATTATAGCACGATTAATATAAGATGTGAATATGACATTCTAAATTGATGTGAATACTTCTTGTAGTAATTATTCTAACATAATTTCTTCTATTGCATGGGTCTATCCTATGGTAGTGGAAAGGAGGAAAATGCACTTCAAAACAAATTGCAAGTTAACTTGTAAGATATATTTTTTAACATCTATTTTTTTAATGTAGTAGCACGATAAACATTAATAATAGCATGATTAACAACGAATTTTAGCAAATTGTACAAAATTTAATATTTTAGGGCATGGCTCAAAGGCGCTGTAGCCTTAGTGTTCCTCCTAGGTTTAACCTGGGCTTTCGGATTCCTCTACATTAACGAAGAATCGGTCGTGATGGCGTACATATTTTGCGTATTTAACTCCCTCCAGGGCCTCTTTATATTCGCATTCCACTGCGTACAGAACGAAAAGGTAGGTTTGGAACATGATAGGGAACATTCTGGATTTTTTCTGGAATGTTCCCAAATTAAGCATTCTAGAATGTTGCCTCTATAAAATAGTTTAAGAACATTCTAGAATGTACCTATTTTAGATTCGTAAGGAGTACCGGAAATTCATCAGGAAACACTCATGGCTGCCGAAATGTTTAAGATGCTCGAAGGTTTCGAGCCCGCAGAACAGCAGTTCCGGCGGAAGTTCCGGCTTGAGCGGCGGCGGCAAGGAGCGGCGCACCAGCGTTTACGCGGGCTCGAACGGAAACCCGGCGTCGGGCACAAATTCGCATTCGACCGACAATTCAGTTCTGTCGCCTCATGGACAAAGTGTGGGTACCAACTCGAATATTGCGATCTCCAACACCCTTAATAACGCGCGTCCGACCGTATTAGTTCAGGTTCTTACTAGAACTGACTTGAACAATGCAAGTACCACTACCGTCAACCATAATCGGCTACATAACGTGTCTCAGCAAGGTACTACACACGATAATCTTACGTCATACAGTTTGACACTAATCGATACACTTTTACACAGCCTCTCAAACAATACTGCCGATTATCAATCAACTGGAAATGTTGCTATCAACATCGGTCTCATCTTGCTTTGGTTTTCAGATACTGATTGGAACATGATAGAATGTGGGAACATGATATCAATTATCTATCATGTTTCCCAATGAAGTAATGTCTGATTGGAACATTATAGAATGTGGGAACATGATATCAATTATCTATCATGTTCCCCAACGGAATATTGTCTGACTGGAGCATGATAGATAATTGATATCATGTTCCCACATTCTATCATGTTCCCCGATGGAGGATTGTCCAAAAAATCTCACTCTGTATTTTGGAAACAAAGCAAGATCGGATTCATGTTTATAGGAACTGTTTTACTTAAAATAACACATTGTATTGCCTCTTTAATATTTCAAATTCCTTTTGAATGGCCCTTTATACTGTACATTATTTTAAGGAAAGTTTTTTCTTAAAATGTTTTCTAGTATTTCAGTAGTATTGTATGATAGCATAACTTGGTAATCCAGCAAACTCTCTAATGCTGGTTTACCCCTTTGCTTTTTTTCTTGTTCTTGTCTAAAATTCATTCAAAGCTTTCATGTGTAGAGTACCTAAAATAATAATAAAATACAAGAAAAATAAGACAAAATATTCACACTAATAAAACTCATTCATGTTTAAGTTTTTAGCTGCTTTATTTTTTTTTAAGTTTACAGTGGCAGCTCCATATAAAGTTAACGTGTCTTATTTTTTGTCTTAACGCTTCTCTTTTCTCATAACTAATTCGATTTAAAAACCGAGCTGCTTTTAAACGATAGATTTTACTAACAAAAAAAATTAAAAGACAAAATTTTACATGTGGTGTAGTGGTGGTAATTGCATTGACTACCCCCTCTCTTTTGGCATGTTTATTTTTACGTTTTTTCTCAAAACTGTACTATAATCAAGGTGTGGTCAACAATCACTGCGTCTAATGCTTTCTTGCTTTTTTGGTTTGCGTTAACAATTTTTTATCTTTACTATCAATCATTTGCTGCCATCTAAACCACCACATTGAAAGAAAACGAAAAAAACCCGATTAATCCTTATGTTGTCATCATCATCGTCCATTCTCATCCAAATATTAAAGGAGCCCTAAAAACTTTACTAGATCAAATTTACGGTTTTTAATGGTGTCCTTAATAAAGCAAGTTCCAACAAAATTTGGACCATGATAGAATGAACTGCTCTAGTAAGGTTTTTCTGGTTGAGCAAGCCTAATTGGGTTGAAGGTGTGCCCTTTGGTGAAGGAAAAAATAATCTGTTGCAGTTGCACCGCGGTTGGAATTCCCAAAGTTGCAGCAATGTGAATCACGTGGGCAAACCTGTAACCACTTCTACTTCGGCCAACATGGCTGCTACTCTGTGTCGCCCGACCTTAACTCCCGGACACACGTACCAACCCCCTTCCGTTGACCTTAAACCGACTAACACCCCCAACACTTCCACCCTACCGTACATTAGAAATTTTTGTAAAAATACCAATAACCCTAATCCTAACATACCCAAGTCTATTTCTACCTGGGGTCCATTACAAAAACCTCACTGGAAGGTGCGTAGAGTGTGAGATTGTGTGTGGGTGTGTGAATAACCTCGATTTCTTAGCACGTAGTTTTTAGTTTTTTTCCACGCCTTTTCTCTTTATTACACCTTATTATTATTGTTTGTTTTTTTTTTGTTTATTTTACCATTTGTTTAAATTTGTTTATTTTGCTTATTTGCTTCAAGCAGCCTGAGCAAAAGGTACATTTTGCATCATTTGGAAACATGGTAGAAAAATAGGAACATTCTATATTTTTGATAAAATGTTCCCCATTGCAATGCAATGCATTGAAGCAGTTTTCGATAAAAAACATTCAAGATAAAATCTTAAGGAGCAATTCTACATTTTTGCTAGAATGTTCCCAAAAATCATTATATGTACATATGTCATTTTTATCACCTACCAAGATTTAGAAGAAATTGATAAGATATTCACTTTGTTATTTCCCTGGAGCAAAATGTACATTTTGCGTCATTTAGGAATATGGTAGAAAAATAGGAACATTTTATAGTTTTGATAAAATGTTCCCTAATGGAGGAGATTTCGATTAAAACATTCAAGATAAAATCTAAAGGAACATTTCACATTTTTGCTAGAATGTTCCCTGAAATTATTCTATGTATGTAAATCCAGAAACCTTAAAAGAATTCATGACTAAATTATGTAATTTTTATCATCTATCTAGATTTATTAAGCTTCATTTAGGAACATGGTAGAAAAATAGAAACATTTTATAGGTTTGATAAAATATTCCCCATTCGAGCAGATTTTTATTAAAAACATTCAAGATAAATTCTACATTTTTGCTAGAATGTTCCCTAAAATTATTCTATGTACATATATTTATGTATCCAGAAACCCTAAAAAGATTTTATTACTAAATTTTGTCATTTTTATCACCTTCCTAAATTTATGAAGCGTTTTCTTGTACTATGAGAGGATTCAGAAGAAATTGATAAGAAGTTCCTTTAAACATGTTCACTTTTTATTTCCCTGGAGCAAAATGTGCATTTTGCGTTATTTAGGAACATGGTAGAAAAATAGGAACATTTTATAGTTTTCGATTAAAACATTCAAGATAAAATCTAAAGGAACATTCTACATTTTGCTAGAATGTTTCCTGAAATCATTTTATGTATATCCAGAAATCCTGACAAGGTATAATGACTAAATTTCGTCATTACGTCGCCTATCTAGATTTGTACCTTTTTCTCGTGCTGACTATAAATAAGATGATTTAGAAAATTGCTCCTTTAAACATGTTTACTTTTTGATCAAAATTGATCTGCAATGTCTTGAATTCTGTAAGAAAGACATGCTTTGGAATGGAAACGATTTTTTCTAAGCATACATCAAAATGTACAGATTTAAACGATGGTAATAAATGTTTGATGTGTGAGCACACGTACTGATTGTTACTGGTATATTTACAGAACATTTCTTTTAAGTCATATAGTCGTGATTCGGGACATGGCGGGTCTGAGAAGGAGGAATCGCCTCGTTCGCACGCGATGCTGTCCAACATGAACACGGTAGGGCGCAGATACATGCCGACCTCGGAGCAGGAGATGATGACGCAACAGCAGCAAATCTACAACGACTACGGGTTGAGGATGCAAAACACTTTGCCGCACCCGATGCACTTGAACTTGAAGAAGAAGAACAACGGGAGTTACAACGGCAAGCAAGGCAACTGGAATCACCACACGTACAGCGAAATCGACGGCAGGGGCGTTCGAGGCTACGAAGACGATCCCGTGTACGAGGAGATCGAGCGCAACGAGATCCAAGTGAGCGACATGAGCGACGAGGACGGGAAGAGGCAGAGCGACATGAGCAGGCAGTCTTCCAGGTCCTACGGCGATCACAGGCCGTTGATTCCGCACAGCCCGGGCGCCGATAGAAGCAAGGAGCTGCTGAGATACAACTGCATCAATCAGCCGACTGCGCCGGACGTTGATACTTACCGTTCCCGGCCCACAATAGTGTATCGCGGCAACGGCGGCGATTTGCGCTCGCTGGCCGCCGTTTTGGACGGCGAGACGGTCGTTTGTCATTTGGAACCTCCCGATATGTATTCGCGCGACCCCTACATGTCGAGAACACTGGCAATGCCACCTTATACTAGTGAGAGTTAGGAAATTGCCATTTCTAAGTGATATCTGTGATTTTAACACATGATCAGACTCTAAGGTCATTTTTTTAATCAATTAATTAATTGATATATTAAGTAAGCCCCCTCTCAAAACTTTTTTATCAACTGTACAAATCCGAAATTGTTCATATACCTTCCGGATTTAAGAAACTTGATTTTCATTTTATCAAGCTCCTTAAATCCTATATATATAAATATAATTATTAGTATGATGTTAGGCGTAGGGTTTCAAGTATATGGACAATTTAAATTATTCATTAGAAATGTTTAGTTGTGTATATAATTTATTTAATTTTATTTAGGTATCCAAATTGGCAACTATTAATTTAAAAAAGAGTGAATTAAATTTATTGAACAAAGCTACTTTATTTTTTATTTACGCGCTCTTTTCATTAATATTGCAACATACGACTGGTCTATTTTATATAAAAAATGACTTCCTCTAAGTGTATACGGGGCATTCCCCGACCCCTTTCGATTTGGCTAAAACTTTTTCTTCCGTATAAAAAACATTTTTCAGAATGTTTTCAAATATCTATAATCTTTTCAAAAAAGGGATTTAAAAAAAATTTAAAATGACAATCATCGAGAAATTTTCTGAAAGAAAAATATAGAAAAATTATTCAGACCGATCTTCTACGTATTTTTTTAATTTTCGGAAAAAACGAAAATTTCTCGATGATTGCCATTTTTAATTTTTTTAAGTCCCTTTGAAAGCAAGAGTGTTGAAAAACAATTTGTTGGGTGAAAAAACTCAACCAAATCGAAAGTGGAAAGTAATTGACATCTGTATGCTGAATAATGCTTTTTCAGTGCGTTACGTTTAACAGTGTTCTGTTTATTTAAAGATTGGTCTGAAACATTCTGCAAAGTTTTAGAAACATCCACATATTATAAAACGTTCTAAAATCAGAACATTTCAAAACCTTTAGAACATAATGGACGTGTTATACTATTCTTAAACGTACACATTGATTCTTAAATTTTGTACCAGTTAAGCTTTAAGAGGCATATTAGCAGGCACAACTGTATATATAGTAATATCAAAAGCGTACGTACACCGTTTGCACTTGTTGGCATTCTACCTATAAATATTCTTATGATTTTTAGCGAATCTATAACGAGTTAAAAATGTATATTTATATAGACTGGGTCTCGACTATGTTTTAATTTTACGCCCTGCACAATGCCATTTAAAAATTATCGAATGTATGTCTTTGCTTGGTGATCTTGATACTTTGAGCTGAACATCACTTATTCGTAGTTAATATTTATATCAGTTAGATAGGTGATGTTTGGCTTTGACTTGAAAGTAAAGTAAAAATGGATGTATTTTTGTAAAAATAAACAGGTAATTATTAAAAATGTATGTGTCATACTATTAAGGTTTCTTAAATGTGTATTATATAAATCTTATGATACTGGCTCACTTATTCCTTTACTTATGGAGACCCAGCATTTTTTTTAACTTACCGTATAATGGATTTGAACAACAATCCGCAGTTTTAAACCAAGTTTACACTTACTACTGCAATCAACTGTCTAAGCTTGGTTTAAATTAAACAACTTACCCTTACATATATAATAAAGTATACAAAAACCTTTCATAATATAATTAAAAAAAACCTAGATTAAAACATACAATGTTGATTACTTTTCGTTTTTAAGTTATTACAATAATTATAATGTATATATTGTATAGTGCTTTGTACATGTTGATTTTATTGAATGGTACGACTTAGTCAGGCGTAATAATAATAATAATAAAATCTGTTGGAGCTACGGTTTTTTAGGACTGGCCGTAGCCGCAAAAAAACCACACGAAAATGTATTAAATTTTAATATAAAATCACAAAGTCTGACCAATAAAATAATTTACTTGTAGATTTCAAGACTTTTATTTCAAACTTCCCACACAACTTGACTGCGCGGTGAGTAAATTGCGCTGCGCAATAATATGACACTCAAACGTGTAAATATAAAAATTAAAAAATAAAAGGTAAGCATATAATTTTTAAACAATTTATTTCTCGTAACCGCCAGTCAAATATATACAATTCAAGATGATTTCATACAAGATGACAATAAATTATAAAAAACTTTCCAAAACAATAAATACATAAAATATTATGTAAAACTTTGTTGAAACTGATGAATATTTATACAACCGTATTGCACAAAACACTGGGTTAAACTTTTTTTAGTTAAAACTGATGCAATTGACTAGAGAACAATAAAATTACTATTAAAAAAAGTACCAACAATTAATTAATCAATGAGAATAGAAGACCTGGATGTGAATTTTACTAAAATCAATTAATTTTAATAGTAGCAAAATGCTTATTCGTTGAAAAATCGAAGGAGATCGGCTTCGAAGGATCCTTTTTGTGACCGCCGGCCAAAAGTTTCAAAACCACAAAATTCGTCTTGGCTATCTTTATCAAATCCAAAATTTCGCCATCCTGATGTTGACAGTTCTCCAAAAGTTGCCTAGCCTGGTGAAAATGCTTACAACCGGCAACATAGAGAAAGCAACTGTCCACTGGCTGCTGAGGAAAACGCTCTAACGACGTCATATCCTTAAATTCCGAGTAAACCACCGGAGGTGGAGTCAGCAAATTTTGAAACGGAGCAAAACGGTGCTCGTATCGCACTTGCTCGTTATCGAATTTTTGATGCGGCGTCAGCAGTTTTTCGTCCAGTCTAAATCCCATTAAGGCCTAAATACATTGTGTTAATTTTTATGTTTCGAGAACATTTTGGAATTTTTTTAACGTTCAAAATATATGGTTTAATAGGTTTTAGAGCATTTTGGAACATTTTTAAAGAATATGGAACGTTACAGAGCATTCTTAAATGCTTCAAAACATTGTGAAACGTTATATAACATTCTGAAAAGATTCAAAATATAATGAAACGTTTCATAAAATTATGGACCTTATCTGAAAGTTAAAAAAATATATAGAACGTTTTAAAACATTTTGAAACGTTTCAAAACATTATTTAGCTTTTCTGAACATTTCAAAAAAATATAAAACGTTCCAAAATATTCTACAGTGTTTCAGAACAACGTTATACATTCTAAACCGATTCATTTCAGAACATGGTGAAACGTTATATAACATTCTGAAACGATTCAAAATATAATGAAACGTTTTATAACATTATGAGGCTTGTCTGAAAGTTAAAAAAATATATAGAACGTTTTAGAGCACTTTGAAACGTTTCATGAACATTTTAAAAAAATATAAAACGTTCCAAAATATTCTGCAGTGTTTTAGAACATTGTAGAATGTTATATAACATTCATTTCAGAACATGGGGAAACGTTATATAACATTCTAAAACGATTCAAAATATAATGAAACGATTTATAACATGGAGCTTGTCTGAAAGTTAAAAAAAATATATAGAACGTTTTATAGCACTTTGAAAGGTTTCAGAACATAATTAAGCTTTTCTGAAAATTTCAGAAAAATATGAAACGTTCCAAAATATTCTGCAGTGTTCCAGAACATTGAGGAACGTTATATATCATTCTAAACGATTTATTTCAGAACATTGTGAAACGTTATATAACATTCTAAAACGATTCATTTCAGAACATTGTGAAACGTTATATAACATTGTGAAACGATTCAAAATATAATGAAACGTTTCATAACATTATGGAGCTTGTCTAAAAGTTAAAAAAATATATAGAACGTTTTAGAGCATTTTGAAACGTTTCAGAAAATTAATTAGCTTTTTTAAACATTTCAGAAAAATATAAATTGTTCCAAAATTTTCTGCTGTGTTTCAGAACAGTTTGGAACGTTATATAACATTTTAAAACGATTCATTTCAGAACATTGTGAAACGTCACATAACATTCTAAAACGATTCAAAATATAATGAAACGTTTCATAACATTATGTAGCTTGTCTAAAAGTTAAAAAAATATATAGAACGTTTTAGAGCATTTTGAAACGTTTCAGAACATAATTAGCTTTTCTAAACATTTTAGAAAAATATGAAACGTTCCAATATATTCTGCTGTTTTTCAGAACATTGTGGAACGTTATATAACATTTTAAAACGATTCATTTGTAAAACGTTATATAACATTGTGAAACGATTCAAAATATAATGAAACGTTTCATAACATTATGGAGCTTTTTTAAAAGTTAATAAAATATATAGAACGTTTTAGAGCATTTTTAAACGTTTCAAAACATTTAGCTTTTCTAAACATTTCAGAAAACTATGAAATGTTCCAAAATATTCTGCAATGTTTCAGAACATTGTGGAACATTCTAAAACGATTCGTTTCAGAACATAAGGAAACGTTATATAACATTCTAAAACGATTTAAAATATAATGAAACGATTTATAACATGGAGCTTGTCTGAAAGTTAAAAAAAATATCTAGAACGTTTTAGAGCATTTTGAAATGTTTCAGAACATTATTTAGCTTTTCTGAACATTTCAGAATAATATGAAACGTTTCAAAATATTCTGCAGTGTTTCAGAACATTGTGGAACCTTATATAACATTCTAAAACGATTCATAACATTATAGAGCTTAAAAAATAGAGAACATTTGCAGAACAATATTTAGCTTTTCTAAACATTTTGAGAATATGAAACGTTACAAAACATTCTGCAATGTTTTAAAACATTTTGGAACGTTATATAACATTCTGAAACAATATTAAGCTTTTCTGAACGTTTCAAAAAAATATAGAAAGTTTTAGAGCATTTTGGAATATTTTAGAAGAATATGGAACGTTTGAAATAGTTGTGGAACGTTGTATAACATACGATTCAAAATATATAAAAAACATGGAGCTTTTTAGAATGATTTAAAAAAATATAACGTTCCAAAATATTCTGCAAAGTTTCAGAACATGGAGCTTTCCTGAACGTTAAAAAAATAGAGAACGTTTTTTGAAACGTTTCAGAAGAATATAGAACTTTACAAAACATTCTGCAATGTTTCAGAACATTGTGGAACGTTATAAAATATTCTGAAACGATTTAAAATATAATAAATCCTTTCAGAATATTATGGAGCCATTCAATTCTGGCAGACATACCTTGTAATAGCCTCCACACATGTTCTGTAAGGCTTGCAGATAAATGATGTGTTTGTTATATGGTCTTGGTTTCTTTTTGTACTTGGTTTTCTTTTTGATTGCGCCTTTATTTCTTTGTAATTCCAGGATAATTTCGTTTTCGACCAAAAAGCTGTCTGCTCGCGAAAGGGCCGATGTAAGCCAGCCATAGAGGAATTCAAATAAATACCTGTGAATCAAACAATTAAATTTAAATTTTGTAAGTTTTTATAACATTATAAATACCAATAAATGTAGTAGTACTCGTGTACACTGTATAGTTCCAGCTCAAACCCGGACAAGAGATACATAATCATAATTCTCAAAGTGTGATATAAAATCCAGGTGCCAAAACATGCCACATGCGGCCTTGATATAGGAGATTGTACTGATATATTGTGTAAGTAGGCATCGACTCTTTCAGCCTAAAAAACATTCATATAAATAATATAAAGGTAAAACTTTATGGTGTGGGGTATACCTCGTCTTGTAGTGTGGTGAATTCCTCCAATAAATGAGCCAATTTATCGCGTTGTCTCGCTCGATTGTGCCCGCAAAGTTGCAAGAAATTCGCGAAAGGCCTTACGCAATGATTCAAGAAAGTGTCAACGCAGTTTTTCGCCTGGTAATTGCTTAGTAGGGCCTTGGAAACCAGCGCTGGAGGACATATAAAATTTTTGACGGCATCTTTGAGAATTTCTCTAATGTTCGATATATCTGTTCCAGGGTAAAGTAATTGCAGCGCGGACCGGGACAATATGCAAGGCCCTGTTTTACTAAAGTCTATGAAAAAGTCCTAAAATGTATACAAATTATATTACAATATTTATATAATAAATTATATTACTATCTATCTATCTATATATATATATATATATATATATATATATATATATATATATATATCGACGCACATGGGGTATTACTACTAAAAAGTTGACCAAAATTATTTTTCAAGTTATAACAGTTAAAAATCGTATAACATGCTATGTTATAGCATCTTATGTCATTTAAGACACAATTTTGTAATTTAGGTATGTTAATTTATGTAAAAATACAGACTTTTTATTTTTTTTCTACGCATTAAAAAAACACACCCTGTATTATATTTTGTAAAATAAACTTATACATACAAACTTGTAAATTAGTTCATTATAAAGAGACTTTAAGTTTATTAAAAATAGGAAAGTTGGCATTGTCCAAGGAAATACCCTGTATAAGTGAAAACTTAATATTTAAAAAAATTATATTATTTTATGAACTTTTGATCTCTACAAATTTTTTGTAGAGTTTTCTGAGTAATAAAATACGTTGGACATACCTGCCATAGCATCATCCATTTTGCACCACTTTAGACTGATTAGTAAAAACATTATTAAACAAGTCCAAAAAATTCTTATTTTAAAGAATTCTTGAATTTAACAAATATTACTTCGAGGAACCCGAATTCCGCCTAAGCAGGCGGCTTCCTGGTAGTGCAGGAGTGCAAAAAACTTTAAAACATTGTTTTCCATTCATTTAGCTATCCAATGTAAATAAAAATTGTATTATGCGACTTATTCTACTAAATTGACTTTTGGCCAGCTTTTTAAAGTAAATACCCCTATGTGCGACGAAGTTAGTCCTGCAAAAACTCGGAAATGGCTCAACCAATTTAAATATTTTTTTTGTTGTTCGCCTCAATACAGGGGTAATATAAATAAAAAATACATCAGGAAAACCCGAAAGGAACAGCCGGAAAATCGAAAAAATCGAAATACGTACAACTTTGAATTAATTTGAATAGATGGCGTTCGTAGCTGCGCTTCAAATTAAATAACTATTAAACTCGGAAATGGCTCAACCGATTTAAATATTTTTTTGTTCGCCCCAATACAGGGGTGATTTAAATAAAAAATACATTAGGAAAAACCGAAAGAAACAGCCGGAAAATCAAAATTCCTACAACTTTGGATTAATTTGAATAGATGGCGTTCGTAGCTGCCCTTCAGATTAAATGAAAAAACATAACCACAAATTCATTCATTCAATTGTTTTAGCGAGAAATTAGTTTAAATAGTAAAGTTCTCAAGGTGAGTTTGACAGATTTGAGCGACTGTAAAAACAATTCCGTGTCGTTTAACAGTTTCTCAATGAATTGGAGTTGAAATGTTCTTATAAAGAATTTTAGGTGGAATGAAGTTCACCGGGTCATCAAGTATTTTAATATTAATTATGGTATTAAGTATTCTTTGAAATATCTAAACTTATTAATAACACGTTCATATAATATTTTGTACAGTGTGTAAATTAAATTTTGTTTAGTTCAGTTGTACTTACAAGGGCTTGATGTAAAGATGTAATACCTTGTATTTTACAAACTATTTTAAAACGTTCAGTCATTTCAATAAAATAAAGCACAGCTTCTGCTCTAGATTTAATTTTCGTGTATCGTGGAAATGTCGGTGGTAATAGCCTTTGGTTTATGGATGGTTCAAATCCCAGTTTGTACTCATTTTCAACTGAAAACAATAATATAACCATTCTTTGTATTTTTTAAAGAAACAGCTTACCTTCTTCATACTGTACACCATGCTGTACAGTGTTCTGCATAATCAGCAACATTTCCAGAGCTGTAGCTAAATGTCTTTGACAGTCTTGTATTGATTGTTGATCTTCCTTCCTAAGCAATATTAAAGATTGTAAAAGAACCCTAATGAATTTTATCCTGGCATGAACTGCCTGAGTTTCCACCTCTGATTGCCTTGCTCTAGTTTTTCTATGGAGTTCTTCCTCAACCTCTCTGAGCATACCTATCATTCTTTGCTCAGATATGTCAGGAAAAATGTGATAGCCATATTGCATTGGTTGGAAATCTTCTTCTTCATAAACCATGGCTCTAAAATACATTCATATAAAACGTTTTAAAATATTCTAATAAATAACATACTTATGAATAAATTCTTTGATAATCTCCAATAGCTTGTACATTGATAGACAAAATGCCTTTAATGTTTTATCTTCAATTAAAAAAGGCTTGTGCAAATACAAATTGATAAAAACCGTTTGAGCTAGGGAGTGGCCTTCAAGCCAGGACACCAGACAAGCCAGTGTATTGTCAATAATACCAATTACTTCACTATCTTGAAAGTGATCAATTTTTAATGTTTCATCTTTGATTGCTTGTTCGAATGACTTGATTTTCCTGACGCCTCTGTTACAAATCATCCCTGCATCCATTTTGGGGTCCATCATTTCGATTGCTGACATTGCTTCAAATAAACCGAATTGCTCGTCATGCAGTAGCTCGCCCAGCCTTAAATCTACAAAAAAAAACAATAAATTTGTTCTCCCTGTATAAATAAACTACCTTTAACAGCATCGGTGAAATCGCTAGTAACATCAACATAATTTGGCACGGATTTTTTCGTAGCAGCTATCGAAACTCCGCTAGTTGATCTAAAAGTATTATTTAATCAGTTTTTAAGATAAAACTTTCTTTTCCACTTACGGTTTTGGGAACTCCATGGTTATATTACCAATTTACTACCAACACAATTATTTAAGTCATGGAAAATAGATGGGTGATAACGATATTATAAATTAAACAGACTTTTAAACCCCATTGTGCTAAATTTAAGAAATGACAACTAACCTAACCTCAATTCTTCAACAATTCTACCAACATTAAGAAAATAATATTAATGATTGATTTTATTCGGTTTTAAAACATAAATTATGAATAAAAATGTTTATTTTTCACTGCAAGACTATACAAAGACATAATCGTTCAATTTAAAATACTTAAACGCTTAATTTCTTTGTTTTTTTCACCGTTGGTAGTGTAGTAGTTTGTTCTGAGGTAGTTGGTAACACTTGATCTCGTTCATTTTCGTAGAAGTGTCATTTGTTGTTCTTCGAGGAAACGCTACTAAAAATCCAACAAAATGTTCCGTTCAGTAGCTGTTCGCGGCGTTTCTCTACTGAAAACAGCCGTAAAAGTTAACAAACCATCGGTCGCCGCCACAACCAGATTTATGTCCCATGGACCAACTGAAACCGATGAACAATTTGACGCAAGGTAAATTACGTAATGTGCATTTATTTTTTAGTTTTAATCGTTGGATATGATATGAACAATTAAAAAATGTTTAAAATCGGTTATTTATCAGATCAATTACGTAATTTTGTATATAAATAAGTATGTAAGACTTTGATACATATATAACCTAAAAATTGACAGTTATGTCATTTGGATCTAGTGATTGATTAAAAACTGCATAAAACATTCAAAGCATGTTCTAAATAAACTCGTGTGCTATAAACTAACATTTGTTGCTTTTCTGTCATGTTTATAATGTAAAACCAACCCTAATTTGAATAACAATAATAATATTTTTATCTTCCAGATATGAAAACTTCTTCAACAGAAAGGACATTGACGGCTGGGAAATTAGACAAGGAATCAATGACCTCTGGGGTCACGATTTGGTACCAGAACCAAAAATCCTCATCGCTGCCTTAAAAGCTTGCAGACGAGTAAATGATTTTGCTTTGGCTGTCAGGATCTTGGAAGCCCTCAAGGACAAGTGCGGTAGCAAGGTCAGCGAAATCTACCCCTATGTAATGCAAGAAATCAAACCCACCCTTTCCGAATTGGGCATCAGCACCCCTGAAGAACTAGGATTTGACAAGCCACAGCTTGCTCTTAAATCAGTCTACGATATGTAAATTATAGTTAATTGTTAGTCATATTTCCCTAATAAATTAATAAAGTAACTTTGTTTTTTATGTTTTTGTTTAAATAGACCCTTACAAATATTGCATAAGTTGTTTGGGATTCTCAAAAACACATTATAGAATGATAAAACTATTTTACGAAATAAATAACGCTTTTTCAATTGCATTTTACAGTTTTTCTAAATCTTAAATCTTTTTTAATTTATGTTTTGTAATGCATTTTTATTCATTTATCACCAACAAAATTTTTTAAATTTTTAATTGAATTTTAGAGTTTTTCCAAATATTCAAAAACTAATATTAATTTACAGACTTGAATAAAAATTGTTTCTTCATGGAACATTTTTAATTTATCATCAATTTTTAAAAATATTTAGGGTTTTATGTGAAAATATTGCTTTTACAGTTTTTTTTAATAGCAAAAAAATTTAAACATTGTTTTAAAATTATAATTCACCAATATTTACAAAGTTTTAGGGTATAAGTACTGTCAAAATAATGCTACTTCAAGTGCATTTTACAGTTTTTTTAAATCATCAAAAACATAACATTATGAAAAAATGTTTTGCCACACAACATTTGATTTATTACCAATCCTTTTCAGGGTATACTGTCAAAATAATGCTCTTTTAATGACATTTCAAGGCTTTTCTAAATCTTTCAAAACAAAAATGTTACAGGCGCTTTTTCAAACCCCAAAGTTTGATAAACGCTATTAGAAACGAATTTAATTTAGACGAGTTGTATATATGCAAGTATAGTATAGTATACTATACTTTCTCTATGACAAATACTTATTATTATCTAACATATAACAAATACCTATATCTAATTAGATATATTTGTTATATGTTAGATAATAATAAGTATTTGTCATGGAGAAAGTATAGTATACTATACTATACAGTGCTGCCAGATGAACGGATTTATCCGTTTTTTACGGATTTTCCAGGTCTAGAGAAATTGGAAACGGATTTTGAACGGATTTTCATCAAATACGGATTTTTACGGATTTTTAAGATAGCTTCATACTAATACTAAAAAAACATCATTTTTGCCCCGTTTTTTGATCATCTTTGTCACGCTTCTATTCCTCTTCCTTTTTACTACATTAGACAGAAAAAGAAAGCGGATTGAAAAAGGATGTGTTCTTAATATAGGGTTCTTAAACGCCGAATATATGCGAAACATATGCTTTTTCATTGAGTGTGACAAAGAGAACGATAGTTTCATATCATTTGTTAAGGTTTTATAACACGTTGTTATTGCTGCCAATATATAAGCGGCGCAATGCCACCAATAGTAACGACTAACCAATACTGACTCCAGTTCAGTGCATTGAACTGCATTGTGGCAATATTTTGATCTCAAAGTCAATGTTTATTATATATCCGAATCTGTATATAAAATACTTTATTTTGTGAAAAATGGAAAGTGACGAGAATTATCACTGACGAAGAGGTTCAAACTTCTGAAACTCCCCCGAAAAATTCTGAGATGTTTCGGATTTTCTTTAACGAAAGGTATGTTTTGTCACGAAAATCCCCCTTATAGAAGAAATTTTTCGAAATTTAGACAAAAACGGATTTTTACGGATTTTTCGAGGCTTCCCCCCACCCTTTCCACGAATATATACGGATTATCCGACCATCTGCTCTGGCAGCACTGATACTATACTTTACTTGCAAAATGATTTAAATTGAATATTTGTACAGAGCGACATCTATGAAACAATACAATTACCAAATTGAAAATGTGTTTTTATGTCAAATTTATTTGTGTAAATCAAAATGTATCGCTTGAAAATAAACCGTTAAATCGGATATAGAAGGAGTTTTCTACATTGAAAATAAAGAAAATGTTTTAGTGGAGTCTTTAACCGAAATTAAGTTAATGTAGTTTACTGTCGGCGAAATTAAAAGGTCAGTAAAGTGTACATATAAACTTTTCAAATATTGGCGCTGAGAAACTATTTTTAATACTTTTTTATTTTTGTGTTGAGATAAAATAATTTTTACATTTAATATTATTTTACAACAAGGGCACTTTATTTTACGATTGTATGACATTTGAGATCTTAAAACTAACTTCAGCCTGTGACTAAAAACCTGTTGCTAAAGCGCCATAAAGCCACAACTTGTTAAAGTGTATTTAAAAGTGTCATGGAAACATGTACAATAATGAGTTTTTTTAAGGTGGGAGTAGAAAAAATATAAAAACAGTAAAGAAGGTAAAAAACACAATTTAGAATAAAACACTGGGTCACATTAATCTGAACATTTATTAGGTTTGTCCTTTAATAGTTGACATACAGCCTTTATTAGGTCCTTTAATATATGACTTTGAGGTACAATGTTTTGGCTTTCGTTTAACTCGATGGTTGGAATAAATTTCACAGCAGGGCTTAGAGAGTGTGTACGTACACCATTACTTTTTAATAGTAAAGAACCTTCCTTGGATTTGGCGCAGTTTTTAATTGGTTCGAACGGAATGTTTAACTCGTTGCCACACTGTAAAAAAACAGCGGGTTTTTGTTAATTCCGAAAAATGGTAGACATTAAAAAGGTCTTATGGTCTAAGGTCTACTATGGAAAATAGCGTCCCTAGCAACGGAAAACAAGTGTGGTTGCTATGGAAACCGTTGCCGTGGCAACGGTAATGGTTTTCAGTAACGATAACGCTTTTTCGTGACAAAAATTGGGGGTTTTAGTCATAAGACATTTTCAATGTAAAAAAAACGTTTGCATATCATGTTTTGTGATGCTTACCCTTTGTCCAACTTCATCAGGCCTTATATTATCGTCTATCATACAAGCAATGTATTGTAATTGTGTGTACGGTTCTTTAATCTTGTTAATAACACACGAGTGTATTTTGTTGGCATAGCATTCAACAGCATCATGTTGGCATCTAAATTTATAGTCACCGTCTTCTTCAAAGGTCTAAAATTAATGTAGTGACGTTTAAATTGGACTGTATTAAATAAAATATGTGTTACCTCAGCTTTTCCATAGGGCACTAAATCAAGAATCATAGATGTGAGAAGATTCTTATAAACAGGTACAAGTTGATGTAGAATAAAGAATTTTGAGTCTGGGCATAAAGCTTCATAGTATACAGTTATTTTTACAAGATCATGTACATTATTACCCTCATTTTCCTCTTTATTAACACTATTATTAAAAGGATATAGTTTGAGCGTTTTAAATAAAATAAATACTACTATAAGAATAACTAATATTTTAAAGTATTTAAAGTTGTACATTTTTTCCTAAAGCTTTGTATTTATCTTACATTTGTAACTCAATTAATTTAACAAAATTTATCTTAAAATTGATCAATGTATTTTGAGTCAAAATTTTTGACGGCCATGTCAGTAGGTACCTACATTAAAACTACCCATTCTTTTAACAAGAAAATAAACCAAATACCCGTCAAAAAGCTTTTATTTATTGTTGATTGTATTTAATTAAACCGTTAAAATCGCTTGTTTATAAATAATAATTATACATTATACATGACAAATAAAGTTAAATTCGTATATACCCTATCTTCGAACTTGGGTTCTTACTTTTATGATAAAATCTTAATTATTTTATCACAGTTATTACAAATACACACTTAAAATTCTATAATTTCAATAATTTTTTTTAAATAATGGCAAATAAAGCCAAAACCTTAATTAAACTTTGACGTCTGTGACCTTCAGCAACTGTTATGGTATTAAGCTGACTATGGTTGGTTTATTTGAACTATTGTCGGCAATTTTAAGGTTATGGTTGGGGCATGTATCCGCGCAAACTGCGTTTACGTTTACTTTTTAATGTGGCCTTAAAAAGAGTTGTTTTATCTAACGTCACCTTGCCAAGTTTACTTAGCTTAGTAGAAATAAACAGTGAGTTGAATAAATTACTATAAAATATGTCCATGAACGGCACTAGTACTTTAAGACCGATTGTTTTATTCGGTCCTTCTGGTAGTGGAAAATCTACCTTGATTAAGAGGATTATGAAGGATTTTCCGAATAAATTTGGGTTTAGTATAAGTCACACAACAAGAAAACCGCGCCCAGGTGAAGTAAATGGAGTACACTACCACTTTACGAACCCAGAGGAATTCCAAAACAATATAGACAACGGTTTGTTCATAGAGAGTGCAATTTTTGGCAAAAATATGTATGGAACAAGCAAAAAAGCTGTCAAAGATGTTATTGCTAGAGGACAGGTAATTCCTATATACAATGTGTTTTATGTAAAAGACTACATTATTATTAAATTTCAGATATGTATTCTTGATATAGATTGCCAGGGGGTGCGTAAAGTGAAAAAAACAGACTTAAATCCGCTGTACATTTTCATTCAGCCACCTTCTATGGAAGATTTAAAATCGAGACTTATTAAACGAGGCACTGAAACAGATGAGAGTCTTAAAAATAGACTCGAAGCAGCTAAGCAAGAAATTGAGTATGGAAGTCAACCAGGAATTGCAAATCTTCTCATTGTCAACGATGCTTTGGAAGATGCCTACAATAAACTCAAGAAATATTTGGAAGAAAATGTTTTGCATTAAATAAGTCGAGTTATTTTTCCTAAACATTCCTCTATTTTTATACGTTTTTACATAATAACTCAGTATTGATGTACTTAATTGGTGATATTAACAATTAGTTATGTAAGGTGTTGTAATAAATCTTTTAAGTTAATAAATTTTATGTTTTATTATCTTATTTTAAAAAAGAGGAAACATTTTTGATGTCTATTAAAATTTATTACCATATAAACAAATTTAAATCAACCAAATAATTAAGAAAAAAGTTAAACACACCTTGTACCTATCAGAGATTGTACCTATTTAATCAAAAGTAAGGTTAATAGCGTCTGACATTTGTAGAAATAGAATTTTTATTTCAAAAAAAAAGAAACTTTTTTAGATAGAGTTTATTGTTTAGGGTTGTAGACTGCAGTTTAAAAGTTTTAACCACACTTGAAATTTTAAACTCCTATGTTTAATGGTTACAAAGATATAATAATACCATTGAGTAAAGAAGTTCTTTACACAATGATAATACAGTATGTATCAAGTTTAATCAAGTTTTAATTAGGCACTTGCGTAGCGTTTATTAAAAGAATACTTTAACTGTTAAACATTTGACAAATGTCAGACAAATTTAACGTCACTTTTACCAAGGAGTAAGCAATATATTATCTACTTCCACATTGACAAGCTAATATTAATGGTTACAGAGATATAATAAAATAGAAAAATCCAACGATTTTGGGGCTTAGTCTTGGTTATTTGAACTACTCGATTCTCCTGTATGGTTTCTTGTGCTGCGCACCAGTGTAGGATAAAGAAGAGAAACAAATACAATACTAATTGTTTATATTACATTAATAATATTATCTTTTATACATGATATATTGAAATAATAAGAGAAATATATGATTAATAGTCCATTTGGTTGCCGCAGCGGTTAAGCTGATGCTGGGGCTTGGATTGCTGCCATGTTGCATAGCAGCTGGTTGTTCCCTTTGTAATACGTGAACGACAACGCTTGCGGCATCGCTGCTAGATGGTGAGCACGTGTAATTTCCGCTATCCTGCGAAGATGCCCTGCAAATAGTAATAAAACTGTTTACCGCCCGCTTTTGTAATCAATGATTAATGGTTTACCTAGAAATCAGTAGTCGGCTAGTGCGTGTTTGTTTCTCAGTTACCACGCTGATGCCGCCCCTTTGGGAGTAATTTATCACATTTCCCCCTCTGTACCAATAAATGAAACTTGGAGGATCGGGTGTTTGCAGAACGATGCACGTCAAGTTGATATCCGATCCGCTTCTTATAAATAACTCTGCGTTTCCAATTATTTTTGCTTTTGATACTTAAACAAATTCACAATTAATTTGATTAAATCCCAAGTTTTGCAGAGATCGTGTTAATGCTGGGAGATCTGCAACTTTAATTTATATAGAAAATGGTCTCTTTAGAAAACCTAGTGTGCTGTGGAGAATGCCATATTCTGATTAGTTTATTGCTTTCTATACAAAGTAAAGACGATAATTTCAAGAAACCTATTAAACAGAAAAGCTAAAAATCTTACCGACAACATTGAGTTTAAAGCCTTGGCAAATTTTTGGCTCCGTGCTGACTTGACATTCATATATTCCGGAGTCCCTAGTTTGTGGTGAAGTGATTTTTAATGTCCACTCGTCGGATCCATCGGTGTGCAGAGATTGGAATCTTTGGTCGTTTGTGTACGTTAAAATTCCTACTGTTAAAATATGTAAGTCTCTTTTGCGGATCCAAGAAACCTAAAAAAACAATCGCTAAATGACAAACGGTAGGTAGTGGATAAAAGGCGAATTATACGTTTTATTTTATTCGGGTTAATTCGTAAAATACAAACGAAATGGGACGTAAATTTGTCAAAGGACGAAATTTTCGTCTAATGAGCCTACTAAAATATAATTAGTTATTAATAACTTTTTCGCTTTTTAACAATTTTAATATCATCAGTCATAAGGTCTTTTAAGACTTATAATATACTATATTTGAATTTTATGGAAACGAAAATTTGTTGAAAAGCATCTATATTCCATGACACAAAATTGTATTTCTATGGGTGATATTTAATCCGCAATATCTTGTTATGGTTTATATAAGGTGTCCAGTAAGCTAGAAGAAAATTGTCTATTTTAAATAAGTTTAAGCTATAAAAGGGCCTAGATAAGATTAGAGCGAACCCATAAAACGTTAGAAATGAAAAATGTCGTTCGCGTTTATGGGGACAATCTATAAAGAGAATCGTGGTATTTCATAAACATAAATTTTTGAATACATCAAAGAATAAATCAAGGATAACCGTTGTGTGTTGTACGAAATGCAAAACAGGCCCTTTTTCTAGCTTAATAAACAACTTTAACGGCATTTTATGTTAAATTAACTATAATTTAACGTTCAAATAAAAAAAAAATGACACATTTTAGGAAATAGGTACCTAGTATTACTTTGAAACATATTTTTATAATTTAATTATCAATTATTTCGTACCCCCTTTTGTATAGGTTGATGAAAAAGATCCCTGACCCAGACTGCAATGAAGGTTCGAAAATATTCCATGAATATGCCCTATCGCCTAGGAATAATCCGCTTCATTCTAGAAATATTCAATTGGAATATTTCATAGAATGATCCTCTAAAACTTCCAAACACCATCTAAGAACATTCCCTGCAGTGAATATTCTTCTTCTTCTTTGGTTTGATTGGCCTTTCCCTTTCGGGATTTAGCCAGCTGTATTTTATTATTATTATACTGGAAAAAGCGAGTCTAGGATAACCTATAGCTTCTCCTTTTCTTCTTGGTTTTATAGTTTATTAATTATTATTATTTATGTCACTTCTAGATTATTTTTTCACTTATAGTCTTTTTATTCACTTATGTCCATCACTATCATTTTTGTCTTTTTTAGAGTTTATTCAATAAAGCTTATATCAGCAGCGAAAGTCACTTTTATTACACTTTTACACATACAAAATCACGATATTAGCAGCGGAAGTTACGAATAGTTCATAAAACATTTTTTTATTATAGCATTACGGTTCGAGCTTAACAAAACTTATCGGTACACTTATAATTTAAAGTCATTCTTATTTCACTAATACACTAATGTCTCAAACATAAACTAATTCACGATACACGCAGCGGAAGTCATACAAAAAAATAGAGGGCAAAAAAAATAGCAAAAAAAACCCACGATGCACTACATGGCGGTTTGCACATGACTATTCAATCTTTTAATATTTCGACCATCCTTTGTGGGAACTTATTGCATCTTCACAAATCTAATGTAGATTTTGGACTTTTGGCACTGATCAGCTTAATTTTGTGCTGTGAGCCCCATATTGTCCTCCCAAGGACTCTTGTCACTTCAGCGGACAACACAGAACTGTGCAGTGAATATTCATTAGTTTAGTTGCAATACCTCTCACCGTTGCTTGCCGTGCCAATATATTATATATTTTTATACAATATTCCCTATAATATATATTGGCTTTATATTAATCCGAACGCAGAATTGTGCTCAGGCATTGATAAAACCCAATATATCCTTCTATGTATCTTTTTTAAACATTTATTAATTATACTTTTATACTTATATTTGTAAAGGTATCAACTGCGTTAAGTTAAGATGACAAACAAAAGTCCTGAATATCGCATAATTACCAAAACAATAAAGGAGAGCAATAATTTTTGAGTTAAATTCAGCTCGAAAACATTCGTAGTAATATTGGATTATTAAAATGATGAGGGAGTAAGGTGTAGTGCCCGTATACGCCGTATACGTATATACTATACGGGCATATATATGATTCAGTTTAATACTGATGTCATTATATAAAGCGGCCCTGTTTTAATGACATATATGTTACTGTTGGCCGTAATCCTAGATTAAATATTAAGCTGTTTTGAGCCTTATCAACTATAATATGACCCTTTTCATAATTCGAAGTTTTGCAGCGCAACCGAGGGCTTTTAAAACGTTCATTAATGGATTTTTAGGCGAATTTATGTAGCAGCCAAAAAAGAAATGAAATATTCATTTATCGGAAAACGTTATTTATTTTAATGCACAAAGTTTTCCGCCGCACATATGTATTTTGCACTTATTGTTAAATATGACCCATTTATTTTCTACTGGCTTAACCGCTAAAGAGAAAAACTCTAATTATGATTAATCATCGAGAAAGTAGGAAACGGCCAATTTGGCTATATATATATATATATATATATATATATATATATATATATATATATATATATATATATATATATATATATATATATATATATATATATATATATATATATATTTATATATATACAGGATGGCTCAAAAGTTTGGAATATTGAGTGTAGGTAACTTTTAAAATATCGAAAATTTTAAAAAAGATTGTAATAAAAGTTGTTTAATAGTTTATTTTAAATTTTGCGGTGACATTACCAAAAAAGTTGGCTTCCTTGGGGGGCTACGTATTTATTTTTTTAAGTTTGCAATATCACCGTAAAATTTGATATGAACTACCAAACAACTTTTATTAAAATCATTTTTTAATATTCTCGATATTTCAAAAGTTACACTCAATATTCCAAACTTTTGAGCCACCCTGTATGTATTCAAATGGTGTGAGATTATATTGATAAATTAATTACTTACCGCTCTATCTCCTAAATTCCTAACACGGCATTGTAAATGTGCAGTTTGGCCAACTGTACTGGTGACCTCCCGTCTCGTAGTATTATCGAAATACGGCTGGGCAAATTGTTGCTCCCAATGAGTCGTACTTTTCTGTTCTAACCCGCTTTCTGACAGCCCTTCAACAACAAAAACAAATTTTAATCATTATATCATGACATTTACTGTAATATTTCAAAAAAGTATTCGATATTTTTTAATAAAATTTGAATACCAGTATCTGATTGGTTAATTGCTTTTTATAGAGTAGAAATTTCCCAAATCAGCCTACGATTTTTGACGTTAAAAGGAAAAGGTATTAAATCTACTCAATTACGTGTTGTTTGTAGATACCTGTAGATTAAATCAGTATATTTTCGCTGCTACTGATTCAATTTAATTAACATTTTTACAGAATCAAAATTTTAAGCACAGGCCACAAAATAAATTTTAATAACTTTTTGTACTCATTATTTGAATAATTTGAATATTTATTTGAATATTAACACTGGTCGAAAAAATGACACAGGGTGGCCAACAATTATTATCTATATATAATATATAATATATAATATATAATATATAATATATAATATATAATATATAATATATAATATATAATATATAATATATAATATATAATATATAATATATAATATATAATATATAATATATAAAATAAATAAATATATATTTGTATAAGCTAAGGCGTAATTTTTAGGTAAAACAATTTGTTGGATTTGAATATAACCATTGTTTTTTTAACGATTTGTTTTTATGTTTAATTTTGTTTTCCACAAATATTTTTCAGCAAAAACGTAAAGGTAACTTGTTTATGAAAATGAATAAAACGCAATTCTATTATTATTTATTCATGAGATATTTTTGTCTGGGTTCTTCATTAAAAACTGAATAAATTTCAAGATGCCGGAATTGTTTTTAAGGAAGAAAAATATTAATCACGGTGTTTTTATTGAAAATAACAAAACTGAATTAAATTAACCCATGTTCGGAGTAATTGGCTTTGTAGAACAAAAGTTCCTTTTTCTCAAAGGTTTTTTTATGTATTCCAAGCTTGTATTTTTCCTTTATGATGTTTGATAGAAAGGTGCGGTATTCTGCATATTTTTTTGTGCGTACGTATCCCTTTGAATGACATCTCGAAAAAGGAATTTTCTGTCTCAATGCTATTGGAAAGGAATAAGTTTGATATTAGTGTATAATAAAATAATAAAAGCGTATATTTCGGGAAATACGTGTTGGTTCAGTAAACTTATTTAAGCAAGAAGACGTAGTAAAAAGGAAGGATTTAATTAAATTATATTTTACAAGGAATGCATTTCGCTGAAACATTTACGCTGCAATTATAATATTTACTTAGCAGATATGGCTGCAAAACTAAATTTTCCAAATTATATTCGACCAAAATTGTCAGTCGCGAAACATAAATCTCTCCATTGTGTCGCGCACAATTAAAGCGGTTAGGGACCACGCTGAACCTTTTGAAGTCTGTAAAGGCTTAAAAAAGACACAATAAAATGGACAGACAGTGCTAAATTATCTAAGGAGACAATTTCGTATTAAATTTGAAAAAAGTTCACACGCTAAATCACAAAAACGGGACATTTGCAATTTTATGACAAGAAATACACGAAAACGAAACAAAGGAGGTTTCAAAGGTACTTGGACCAATTATAAATTTTTATACATGCTATTTTAAGTTTTATTTTTTAGGAAGAAAAACTTTTTGTGAAATGTAATTTTTTATTAAAATAACTGTGAAATAAAAAAATACACCTTTTAATTGGTTTTAATCATTTTGGGTATACATTATTTGCTTTACCACTGAATATTATATTTTATAGTTCAGTAAGTATTACATAAACATATGTAAGTACAAAGAAATAAAATTTATATGGTATTCTAAAATAAAGTTCTAAGTATAATATCAATTTGTAAGATTAAAAAAAAAACTTAATATAGAAGTACGTTATTTTATTATTACGATACTTATATAGAAACCATGATATTGTTATTACTTATTCGTAATACATTTTGTAATAAGGAGGTGGGTATGTGAATTAAAAAATGGGGAAAACGAAATAAATATTAAACAAAATACTGCGTAAACAACGTTCAAAAATAAACTTTATTGTTCCATACTTTTAATATTTAACCAAAAGAAACTTTGCTTTTATTTGGTTGCCACGGTAACCTAAATATTTAATTTAAAAAAATTACCTCCTACTGCTTGACACATTTTATATTTTTAATTGTGAAATTTAATTAATTAAATAAAATTGTAACAGTTAATCCCGGCGCATTCGCCATTTTTGAAAATTTGCAAAAATGTTGGAGGCGCATACATTCGATTTGTTTGTTATTTTTAGTTATTTAATCAGTAGACTGAAATTGAGGAAAAAGTGAATTTCCATACATACATTCGATTTGTTTGTTATTTTTAGTTATTTAATCAGTAGACTGAAATTGAGAAAAACGTGAATTTCCGACTCTGATTACTATAACATTGTGATTATAATAATTATTCCCCACATTTTGCAATAATGTTGACGGTGTTATCAATCTGTCATTTTCGTCTGGAAGATCCGGCAACATTGTATGACGAACACGTGATTATCTAGGGTTATTTGGTTTGATAAATTTTAATTAATTTTTAATTAATTTTGTTTGGGTAAAGTGGCTACAAGGAAAGGCAATTATCAAGGGTACACAATTCTAACCATCCAATTTTACACTTAACGAATTCAATATCACTTTCCGTGTTTCCAGTTTTGTTTATTTATTTATAAGTTCAATCTGAATGGAATGGTAATCGGGTTGCATGTCCCTATTTCTGTCATCGCGCAGTAGAGAAAGGTCTAATCTTTTTATTTATAAAGTTTTTAAGTTTTATATTGTGTTAGCATATTTTAAGAAACAAAAATTTTAGAGTAGATGTAGGAATTGGATCGTGGTGCAGGATCTAAATTACTTCATTATTAAAACTTAGGAATTCCAAATTAATGTGATAATTTTGTCATATTTGGCCTTTGTCCAAACTAAATTACTACATTCTAAACTTTTAGGTACCTAACACTCAAATGGATGTGTTGACAAAAATTAAAGCTCTTAATCATTCGATTCCTTACGATTTATTACCTACCTACACCTAACTTTATAGCAAATTCCTTACGGAAACGATAAATTTTAAATTGTAATTTTACTACGTTTAATACTCAATTCAGAAATGTTAAGGGTTTTTGTCTACCCAATTTTAACGTATATGTTGACTACAGTCAAATATTTACTTGGGACTTTGCATATCATGTACTTCAGTCCCGTATATATTAAAATATTATTAAATATCCTCGTACAGATAAAGCCAAAGAAAGCACATTTTGAAACAAATTAAGACAAATAATCTGTAAAAAAACCTTCTAACCGTTAATAAATACACAATATGTCTCTGTTTAGGTATAGTGTTTCTAGACCTTTTTATAATAATAATTTGATGTAGCAGAAAACTTCTATGAATCGTTTAATTTTTAATAATCCAAAGTGCTTTTAATTACAAATCAATACAAAAAGGTAATATTTTGTGATTATCAAGAAATAACTTAATATATTGATGATAATAAATAAAGTATAAAAAAATCAAATAAAATTTATATTTTCAATTTTAGCACATTTCTTTACTCCAGGGGGTTCATATTATAAATTTAAAAAAATTTAAAACAAAATTGCGTTTCAAAAAGTGAATATTAAAGCCATTTTATCGTATTTGCCAAATATAAATCAAAAACGAATTTAAGGTGATTTTTCCTTTTGACTTCCTCAGTAAATATTTACATTTTTTCTTTAATTTGTTAAAAAATTGCTTGAAGGGAAAAAATCCAATTTTTTAAGGCTCGTTTTGTCCAATTTAATAAATGGCTGGAAAATTTACAGAGAACGGAGTTTTATTCGCAAAAATAATATGTTTCTTTTGAAATCGTTAAATAATGAACCTCTAAAAATGCACATATATACAAAACTAAAAAAAGGCAATAATTGACCAAGTTTATATTATTTCAATTATTCCAATGTTTAAACTAAAAACTGTACACTCCGGTCTGTGGTACGGGTATTCCGGGCTAATGGACATTTTTCATTAGATTTCTGAATTCTCAGAATAAAATATGTTTTTATCCTGGTTTGTTTGTGTTTTGTGCAAAGGTTAATTAAATAAATGAGCGAGATTTTTGGTGTATAAACGAATTTTGAAAGAATCTATTATTTGCTATTAAATATGATGATGCTAATGCATCTAAAGATTTAATCCCATTCAAAGCTGTTGAATAATAGAAACGCATTTAGATTCGTTTTGTAGAGCCCTTCTCTTGCTAATACCAATGTTCGTTTTGATGACAACTAACAAAGAAATGTTTTTATGTATTTTTTGTCCTTATCACTCACTTTGTTCCCCAAAAGTATGCCACAAAATTCTATTGATATGTTAGGCAATGTACTTTAACTATTTATTACCTTTGAAATTCAATTTCAAGTAAAATTGTTTTCTTTATTTTTCAATATTATTAGCATTTTAAGTTAAAACAACTCTGTGTCGTCATAGGCTTACTTTCTATTGAAAATGATCTCTATAGAAAGCAATAAACCAATTGGGGCACGGCATTCTGCATGGCACACTAGTTAATATTCTATATTACCTAGTGTGCTATGGAGAATGCCGTGCTTTAATTGGTTTGTTTATTTCGATAGAGATTACTTTCTATAGAAAGTAAAGTCGTAAAATTCCAAATTTTTTTATTGTTGAATTATTTGTCATGTTTACAATTTCGTCACTTTGATGTTTATAACTCATTTCGTTGTTCCACTTCTTCTTATGTCTAACTTAAGTAAAATTGTTTTATATTTTAGTTTAAAATAATGTCATATTGCATGCAGAAGAATAAAAGCAGTCTTTTAACCGTTTAGCGGTAAATTTACGCTTAGTTTCTTTTTAATTAGAGCTGTACTTTTAAAAGCTTTTTAGCAAATATATCAAACATACAAAAACGGTAATATTTTAAAACGTCAAATAAACTGTGTCCACAGAACAAGTTCGGTTTATAGGCCCATTAAAATGGTATGTTTTTAAAATTAAAGTACCCTATACATATTGTGGCGATATAAAAACATAATTTAAACAGTATGAACCAAGTTTTATCGTTAAAATTTTATAGTTAATAAATTGTGATAAAGCCAAACATGTAAATGCTAGTTTTTGTTAAATCGACTTTTTTAAATCTCCAAAACAAGCATTAATATAATTTTATGCAAATTTTATATACTGTTTATCAAAATATTTAACGTTTTATTACTAAACACCCTAAATATTATAAAAAATAACTAAAAATAACAAACAAATCGAATTTATGCGCCTCCGCCATTTTTGCAAAAAATTCAAAAATGGCGAATGCGCCGGGATTAACGGTTACATTTTATTTAATTAATTAATAAATAATAATTTAAATTAACTCCATTTTATTTTAGGAATAAATTATAACAAAATTATAAAATATATTCAAATTATTTTTTTTAAATTTACAAAAATAGGAAATTAAGGATTAAAATTTGATTTAATTAATTAATAAATATTGATTAAAATTTTATTTTATTATATTGTTATTTTTAGTCTTATAAGTTCTAAAATTTTATTCATATTGACAAAATATTTGAATGTAAATTTCATGTACTGTTTATCAAAATATTTGCCTAACATTTTATTACCAAATTATAAAAAATAACTAAAAATAACAATATAATGAAAACGAATTTTAAGAGTTGATTCAGGTGCCTCCGCCATTTTTTTTAAATTTACCAAAAATTCGATTTTATTATATTGTTATTTTTAGTTTTATATGTTCAAATTAAGCAAATAATTGAATGTAAATTCCATATACTGTTTATTAAAAGATTGTTTTATTAAATATTCAGTATATCTCGACTCTCAAAAAAAATTAATAAATAAAATGTAAAAAATTCCCAATTTCCTCTGAGCGCTGTTTTTTAATTATGGGAAGAAAAACATTTTAAAAATGCAATTAAAATTTCCCTAATTATTCTTCATTGTGTTATACAGCATTAAACGAATTTAAGTTTTAGTTAAGTTTTCGAGATACTCTAAAAAATTATTTGATTATATACTTCAATTAACTTAAGAATTTAACAACATAAGATTGCTTTCAAAACAAACACCGAAGTCAAAGTTTAAAACAGCTGAATATTAACTTTTCTTAATTTATGAAACGCCGTAGCCTTACTTTTAATTACTTAAAATTAATATTTCATCTTAAAATAAAATTCCATTTTTAAAAGGCAAAGTGTCGCAGGAAATTAAGAAGTTTTAGTAACTTTTTTATTTTTTAAATCTAACATTTGAAAACTTAGTACTTAGGTATTTAAATTTAAATGAACTGACTATCAAGTAATAATACAATCAAAACTTTCTTGATTAATATAAATAAAAGCCACATGGTAGAGTTTAAAAAGTGAACTCACCTATTATATCGTGTATGAGCCAGATGAGAATTAATTTGAAATACATGCCTAAAAACAAACAAGAAAATCTTATGTTTTTCTTTAGGAAAACAAGAAATCATGCTTAACTCACCTCAGATAATCATTTTATTTTATGAATGGCAAACTTTTAAATAAAACGTTCATTTTTCAATAACATCAAGTCACACGTGAAAATGTTAATCTAGTGGCAATGTCATCTCAATGGAATCTATGAAGTGAGAAGTGTTCTCTCTGAAATCTCATGCTTATATTCGAACATTCATGATCAAACTGCTGGGAAATGAAAACAGACAATTTTCCAGGCCGAAAGGACACGAAAGCAAACGAACAAGACCAGTGAATATACAATAGCCAGTATGGATTTTCTGATCAGACATACAGTATCAAACAAAAAGGCTTCTAGTTAAATCGTAATTGCCATCACTAGGTGATGTTCTTCAAATGAGGAAATTGTCCACACTTGCAACTTCTCCCCTTAAGTCGTTCGTTTTTTTCTTCTTCTTGCAACTAATTCATTGAAACTTTGATTTTCCAATAAACCTAATAAACCTAACGTCAACATTAAACTGTCAAAAAAAAGGTTGTCTTCGTGCTTAAAGGTTTTACTTCAGAATTATTATAATGCAATAAATAAACCTTTTGAGTCCAATAACATAAATAAATTCGTCATATATTCGTCTCTCTCTTATTTGTTGAGTATAATCAATATAATCTAAGATGTTTCTAATGTTATTAAATATTCTAAAGTAAACAAATTTATTTAATATTACATAGGAATATTTATTTTATTGTATTGTACTGCCGAAGGTGGACTAGTTGTCAGTGCTTCTGACTACAAGCCGAGAGGTCTTGGGTTCGAGTCCCACATTGGTATGGTTGTTTAATTGTGTCTGTCCTATTGTGTATTAGTCCATTCAGTTGGCTTCTGAGAAGTATCAATAATTGTTTAATTAAAATAATAACTGGCGATATTAATGGTGAAAATTACGTCAAAAATGTTTATTGGGATGGTTGCTTTATTTTCGTATAGATGTAGCTTTATACAAATATTTAATTTAAATCATTTTTTAGATAATATTAAGTTTTTGTCGTAGAAAAAGTATAGTGTGCAACTCGTATATAAACTTTTCTATGCACTTATTTAGTTAAGAAGCATTCGCTCGCAAGATGGCTCGTGCCTAAATTAAATTCTTGACTAAAATAGTGTTTATCAAACTTGATACATAATATACTATTATTGCCTATTAGGATTTTTATATTATGTACATATTTTTTAAATAATTCTTAATAATTTTTACATTTTTTTCTGTCTGTTTTTATAATATAACATAGATAATAAATTTCTTTTGTTATAATATATATTTCCTAAAGCAGTGTTGAGTAAACCATTTATTAAAAATATCCAATTTCTTAATGGAAAACTTGTTTTTACCTTTTTAATTTAAATATGTATTTCATAAAACATTTTTCTAGTTTTAGTGAAGCTTATTTTGTTGATTAATAATATATGCGTACGTATTTTAATAATAAAAATGCAATGCTTTAAAATATGCTTATATTTACTTTGGAATTTTTATATTAAATTTTTTTCAAATACGTAGGCAGCAGAAATAATAAATCAACATAATTTATACATTAGGCTATAAAGTAAAAAATCTTGTTATTTGTAGCAAAATCTTGTGTAAAAAATGGCGAATGCGCCGGGATTAATTTTAATTTCTTGATGAATTAAAATTGTTTCTCTATAAAAGCCCAAATTAATTTTTGAAAAAATGTAAATAAATACCTATTGTCCGATTTATAAGTCCCAGCAGTTACGGTTTGGGAGTAATTAAAGTTTTTCTAAAATAAATCGCAGAAAACAGTTTCCTAGTTTTAATTTTCTTTATTCTAGTTCTAGTACATTGCAACTCATAAATTTCAACTAATTTCTCGAGAAGAGGAGAGAGGATTAGTACTTTTTTAGCAATGTTTTCACGATGGAAATGAAAGAAGTTTGTGTAATCCAATTTCCTTTATAAAGGTTTCGTTTTGAAAACATAAAACGATGCATCATGAGTGGAAAAAAAATATTGGATGTATCAAGAGGAAACCGAGGGTTTAATGTTCGTTAGCTCCTCTGTCCACATTAGCGCTTCTAAACCGGATCGCACATTGTAAGCATCAAATTAAGGGTGGTTTCAACTTTGATATCTGATACTGCCAGGTCAAAATTAATATCCATACGTAGTATACGATTATTTAGTCGCATTGATTGGATCGTTAATTATTTAGCTCATCTTGATTAATATAATTTTATTGTTGATTAAACTAATATGCAAGAAGCATAGTACGACACCTCTACGTAAATATTTGATTAGTCACTAAACTTGTTAGAAAGAAAACTGTAATTTTGTTATGGGTTGAAATAATAGTCTAGAGTAGTAGTAAAAAAATTGTTATTGCAAAAATATGGTAAAATTTACATTTATACAAAAATGCACAAAGATTAGGTTTGTCAGAGATAGATAGATAGATGTAGAAAAATAATAATAGAAACATAAAATTTAGGTTAGACGTAATGGTAGTCGATATATACATATAAAAATATAAAAATCTTATAGATCACACAAATTACAATATTATACATAGATATGAACAAAAACACACACATTTTTTTTGTTTATATATGGAAATTTATTTAACTACATGACGTAGCCAGGTGTATATGTCCTCTTCATTTTTGGAGACCCAGTTTATGTTCAACTTTATTATTTCCAAGCTTTGTTCCAACGATCTTGTAGCTGATCCAACGTTCATTCCATTAAAATAGGACGACACCTACAATTAACCAATATAATACAGGATGACGGTTTGAGAGAAAGACTTACTTCGTAATAATCATAAGGGGTGGATAAATGTGCAGTAACTGCTGATATGAGACTACCCATCATGAAGGTGGCATTGCCAAATAGTGAGTGCATCGTTGGCCAATAAGCTTTCAGATGTCTCCAAGCTAACAACCGACCTTCCGGATTAGCCGCTACCACCGCCAACACTATTTTAACATCCTGGGGCTTAACCATATTCCTATCCAGAGTTTCCAACAAATACCTGCAAGTAATCGCCCGATTTAGACTAAAAATCACCTCATTTCCACGCTATTATTACCTTTGTAACAACCAAGGATCTGATGCGGCGCCAAGGGCTTTCAAAAGCAATTTTCTCTCGCTCGGAATTTTAGTCGTATTATACAAATTCCAGCAATGTTGCCACTCGTTAATGCCGCCATATTTCACGCCTGCCGAGTACACTACTTCCTTCAAATTGGGATCTATAGATTCATTGTTATGCATCCACCTATAAAACTGCTGCTTGGCCTGGGATATGGTATCGTTTAACTCGCATAAAACTGCCGATGACAGTATATCAGTCCTCAACAACCTAAAACACACATACACATTACTAAAATATCTATACTTGTAAAAGGTGATATGTTAAACAAATATCAATACATATATATTATATCTTACTTCTCCAAGTGAGGTCCAGTATTCTTCCATCCAACATAATTGGTTATGGGGGTCAAAAGTTGTCGCATGTACTTCAAAAACATTTTATACGACAAGCTTTCCGATAGCCTTCTAGCCCACGATTGGAAGTGGTCCATAGCTGTAGCCCAGGGTACGTAATCTCTCTCTTTGTATAAATACAAACTCATTTCTAAAGGCACGCTTGCATTCAATAGGCCAGCTCTGCATAGAGTAAATGCATCGTCCAGTAAACTTGCTCTATCAGCAGCGCTGAGCGCGGTATGGTGGTTTTTCAGCAAATTTATCAAATTTTGCCACATATCGTCGTCATACATAACCCTATAGAAGCCCGTTTGGTTGACATTTGCTTTAATCCATTTAATTTCAGGACTTAACTCGAAGCGAACTGAAAATTAATTATATTAGAAAAAACAACTCCCAAAGTGGAATCATCATTACCATCAGACATATTCATCCATACTTGCTGAGCATTTTCAGTATCGTTGTTGGTAATGTAGGTCAACGGAACATACCACTTATAATCATACTTCGATTTTGGTTTAGACCGTACTGAACTATTAACGTTTTCTATGGTGAGGAGGAATCTCTCTTGTGATGCAATTATTTCGTTTTCTTCTCTGGTGATTGTAACAAGAGGGAAGCCCATTTGGTGCGTCCAAGTATCCATAATAGACTTAACTTCTAGAGATTGGTTGGAGTTTCTGCTAAAAATATTCCATAAATCCTTTGTTTCAGCTATGCTATATTTGTAAGTCATAAGATAGTCGTATAAGCCATTAGAAAGAGTTTCTGGAGGTAAAAATTTACTAAGCATGTGTAAAATGGCAGCTCCCTAAAAAACAATGAATAAATAACTACATTTTATTTAATTACCCAATTTGCTTACTTTGCTGTAAGATATAGTATCAAAAATAGCCGCAATTTCGGCCGGATCGTAGACGTTGACCGAAATGGGATGGCTACTAGTAAGAGCATCTAAAGCTAGTGCTGGTTGGGTTTTGTCTCGGATAAATTGATCCATCATTTTCCATTCCGGAAATAAACTATCCACTCCGATGTATTCCAGAAAACTGGCAAAACCTTCGTTTAACCATAGATCGTTCCACCACTTCATCGTTACCAAATTTCCAAACCACTACAATCAAAAATAAAGTTATTGTGCTAAAAAACATTATTGGACAAGTACTTGGTGAGCTATTTCGTGAGCTATTACAGTGGCAACCCATTGATGGGCAGTGATAGAGGTTTCGTGAGGGTCGTACAGTATAGCGGTTTCTCTGTAAGTGATCAAACCCCAATTTTCCATTGCACCCGTGGCAAAATCAGGAATTGCGACTAAATCTACAAGACAACACATTAGACTAAATAGTTACCTCCAAGTTTCCTTACTCACCTAACTTCGGAAGTGGATATGAAATACCAAAGAAGTCTTCAAAGTAATTAAGTATATGTGTGGCAGTAGTCAACGCGAATGAAGCCTGGGAAATATACGGAGTGGGTGTGTAAACTGATACAGAAACACCCCGCTCAGTTTGATTGCTAATATGCTTGTAGTCGCAAACAATGAAGGCTACCAAGTAGGTGCTCATCTCCACCGTTTCCTGGAAGTCATCAACTAATAATCCTGTGCCCATATAAAAGCCTAGATCGTCTGTTTTAACTACTGGTGTGTTGAAGAGAGCTATATGGAACCGATCCCGAAATATGGTCATTTTAAACTTGGCTTTAAAATGAGGCTCGTCGAAACATGGGAAAGCCGCTCTGGCATAGGTTGGTTCAAAGTGGGTTGTAGCCAAGTAGCGCCTTTCCCCTTCCTTGTTTACGTAACTAGATATATAAAAACCCTCGAAATCTTTGTTTAGCTTATAATTAAATCTCATTTTTAATGTATAATTGTGCCGTTTTCTAAATTTCTCCTTAATTTCTAAGTAGATTTGTTGAGCTCCGAGGTATTCTAGCATTTTGACTATGGTAAGATTATGGCCGCGTTTATCCTGTATTATCTTATCTACGATTGTTAGGTTTTTGCTATGCAACACTATGAATTGAGTTTCTTTTTCAGCTTGAAATTCTATTGATATTTGTCCTGAAATCGATTTTCCAATTAGACATGACCTATCACGACAACATAACAATATATTCTTACCTCTAACATCTAAAGTGGTGAGGTTAGGATGTATGGTCAAATTGTATCTAGTTGGTTTTACTGTGGAGGGAAGACGAATATTGTTCCAGGGGAAGATTTGCCCATTGGTGGCACGCGGGATAAATTGTCGTGTCATGTTCCACTCATCGTCCACGTAGTTTGGTGGCTTTTCTCCAGCGCATGAACAGTCTAAAAGTTTTTATTAGAAATTGTATTTAAAAATTGCGTAAATACCAACAAAAACTCAAACTTTAAATTGTCATGTTTATTAGGTATCCCGCATATCAGGCTTTCCTATTAAAAATGCCATACAGAAACACAAAATAAAAATCTATATGGTTCTATCTGGTTCAATATAGGAATTTGATACAGGCATTGCACTATTGAACCAGATAGAATTCCATACATGGAAAACCATATAGAAAAGAAATTTCTAAATGAATTGCCATATAGGTTCAGATCTGGCCCAATATGGTTTGGGTATGAAAAAATTATTACCATATAGATCCATATTTAACCATATAGGGGAATCTATATGGTTTAATATGCAAATTTCGTTTAAATATACAGTGTGTCCGTAAAGTCCCGGAACATGTGATTATTTTGAAAACGGTAATTTTTTTAAAAAAACGCTGAAACACGTCAACTTTGTTATTTTTCTAGCAATATTTTAGCATATGTAGTTGTTCCAAATTCTGCCGCGTGGCGGCGCCACAATCAAAGTCAGTTTTTTTTAAATTGCAACCCTTTATTTTTGTTGCATTTTTGGATAGCTACCGTTGTCCTGATTACATTGATGTGCCACATCTGGGGGGTTACATAAGAAAATTTTTGAGAAAATCAGGTTTTTGCCGCCGAATGAGATTTTGGTATTTTGTCAAACTTACACAACCTATGCGTTGCTTAATGTTTTTTGGAAAGCCAATCAGAGCAGTTGCTCAAAGTGTACACCGTAAACTATTTGGCAATGGAACAGCCTGTCTACAAACGAGCGTTGTACGTACGTACGTACGCCAGTACCGCTGAAGTGATCATCTGGATCTCGGCTTGAATGCGGTGTCTTAGGTCGTCCAAATTTTAAGGCCTGTTTACATAGACGCGGTTTTTAAGACGTCCCCATAAAAAGAAGTCTAAAGGGTTCAAATCGGGCGATCGCGCTGGCCACTCAATTTGACCCCTTCGACCCATCCAGCGATTGGGAAAGACCTGATTTAAATAATCCCTTACTAGCAATGCATAGTGCCCCGTAACAGCCAATAAGTTCGTCAAAACCAAAATCTCAATCAGCGGCAAAAACCTACTTTTCTCAAAAATTTTCTTATGTAACCCACCACATGTAGCATATCAATGTACTCAGGACAACGGTAGCTATCCAAAAATGCAACAAAAATTAAGGGTTGTAATTTAAAAAAAACTGACTTTGATTGTGGCGCCGCCACGCGGCAGAATTTGGAACAACTACATATGCTAAAATATTGCTAGAAAAATAACAAAGTTGACGTGTTTCAGCGTTTTTTTAAAAAAAATACCGTTTTCAAAATAATCACATGTTCCGGGACTTTACGGACACACTGTATATACATTTTAAAATGGAATTCCATATTCAACCATATAGAAAAACCTATATGGAAAGACACATAAAACAGAAACCAGATAAATCCATATAAAAATCCCTAAGTTGTACATTTTAAAATGAAATTCCATATTAAACCATATAGATTCCAAAGTGTAAACCAGGTCGTTCTATATAGGACATAGAACCATATAAAACCATATTAGTTTCCTTATCTGGATCAATATGAGTTCTAAAGGGCATTTTTAATAGGGTTAAGTTGAAATTCTTGAGACAGTTATATCCAGCTTAAATTAAGTTTCTAAAGACGGTAATATCTAGCATAGGTTGAAATTCTTAAGTCAGTTATATCTAGATTAAGAGACACTCCTTAAACAGTTATACCTGGCTTTAGTTGACCTTCTTAGGACAGTTATATTCACCTTAGGTTGAAATTCTTAATTCAGTTATATATAGGTATAGCTTATGTTGACATTTTAGGACAGATATATCTAGCTTATGTTGAAATTCTTAAGTCAGTTATATTTAGTTTTAGAGACATTCCTAAAATAATTTTACCTGGCTTTGGTTTGACAGTTATATACAGCTTAGGTTAAAATTCTTAATACAGTTATATAAAGGTAGAGCTTATGTTGACATTTTAGGACAGCTTAAGTTGGTATTCTTAAGAAAGTCATATCTAGCTTAAGTTGACATTCTTTAGAGTTATACCTAGCTTAGGTTGACATTCTTAAAACAGTTATATTTAGCCTAGGTTGGCATTCTTAAGTTAAAATTTTTAAGACAGTTATATCTAGCTTAGGTTAAAATTCTTAAAACAGTTATATCCAGCTTAAGTTAAAATTCTTAAGACAGTTAACATTCTTAAAAGGTATACCTATTTTAGGTTAACATTTTTAAGACAGTTATATTTAGCTTAAATTGACATGCTTAAAACAGTTATTTCTAGCTTAGGTTGACATTATTATGACAGTTATATCTAGCTTAGGTTGGCATACAACTTTCAGGCAGTTATATCCAGCTTAAATTAAGTTTCTTAAGACTGTTGTATCTAGCATATGTTGAAATTCTTGTCAGTTATATCTAGCTTAAGAGACACTCCTAAAACAGTTTTACCTGGCTTTAGTTGACATTCTTAGGACAGTTATATACAGCTTAGGTTGACATTCTTAATACAGTTATATATAGGTATAGCTTATGTTGACATTTTAGGACAGCTTAAGTTGCCATTCTTAAGATAGTCATATCTAGCTTAAGTTGGCATTCTTAAGACAGTCATCTAGCATAGGTTGACATTTTTAAGACAGTTAGGTTGGCATTTTTAAGCTAAAACTCTTAAGACAGTTCTATCTAGCTTAAGAGAAATTATTAAAACTTTAAAGTGCTGTCCTAAAAAGTTGTGATTTTCTAATAGGTTTATAAGAATGTATATTACCGCTCTGAGGTCCAGTGAAGGCGATGATGATGGCAATGGTGAATAGGAGTGCAAATACGATGGTGGCAATGCATAGGGCTCTGTTGTGAGAGCATGCCGCGACTCCATTATTTTCGTAGAGCGACTTCTTGGTGGTAGTCTGGCTGTTTCTGTGGTGTGAAGGGCTCTCGGTTCCTACAACAGCACCCCCTGTGTCATAGGGTTGATTAATAAGTGACGATGATTTACAGATGGATGATTGTGTGATTTGTGCGGAAACGCTATGATTTGGATCAGTACCTGTAAGAAACGCAACATCGTCAACATCTTGCTCGCTCATTACTCTATGTCTCCAAACTACTGCCTCGATGTTGTTATCTCCAGTCACGAGTGAAACCTTAACCAGGTTCTCTCGATATCTCCCCTCCACACTAATTCTTAATTAGACTAAACGTTGGATGGATTTTGATTCAATTCTCTTTGGGAAAACAAACATTCATTAACCAGCTATCTCCATCAAATCAAGTTTTAGCTATGTTCTTTTTCATTATCTCTGCATTCTTAAACTCCACTAGCTCCACTTCCACATTTCTAGTCTAGTCTAATCTAGCAACTATCTAACAATACAGTCGCATCTGTACTTTTTAACTAAAGGAATCTAATAGAAAATGTTAAGGAAACTAGAGTATCGGGGTTTAAGATACAGGACCTGCTCATAATTCAATTACCATAACTATTACTACAATGCGGTATTTTCTGTTTGCACAAATAATGCGGTCAGTGGTAAATTATGGCAAGAGAAATACCTACAGGATCAAAATGAAAAACCACTCACCATATGCACTCAATAAAAATAATTCTCGTATTAAATAACGTAAATATCATCAGCCATACTCTACTGATATGTAAAACGTTCACAGTTTTCTTTTAACTGACAGCGCCGTGGAGCTGCTTGATAAATATTTAAATTGCTTTACACCCCTAAGGATGCAGGATAGTGACGCAGCGGAGCACAAGACAAGGACGATTTTAGCCGGCAAAGCGAACTGTTATCCTGAACCGGCGCGTAGGCCCACGATGGTTGCGCGTTCATCAATACTTTCGGAGCGCAGGTCCACTTAGAAGGGCGCAATCAGCTTCACTAATCCTACTCTCTAAGCTAATTGGAAAACGCAACTCAATAAACCATCATTTCAACAAATATATTGCATAAGTAGAAAGGGAGAAAAATGACCAGGGTTGATCTCTTGTAACATTAAAACAACTTTTTTAAAATAATGGTTTATTTTTGTAATAATAAATTGAAACGTGCTCAATACTAATATAATAATTAAAGAAATATTATTGTGGTTTACCTCTGTGGTGCTTGAAACAAATTGCTGCAATAAGTTTTTGTGAAATTATTAGACAGGGTGATTACAGAGTGAGTTATGCGCAGTATGACGCAAAAGTAGATATTCTAGTGCGCAGATTTAATTTTGCCTGTGTTTAAGCATTGTGCTGCATTTTTTTGTAAAGCTGTAAGCAAGTCCAATTATTTTTGCTGATTAGCGACTAGTGTAGTATTTAATACCATTGTACCCACCTTGCTGTCTTAAGTTGCCGTTTTGCGCTTGTTTCGATCTGCCCATCGGTTCCAATCGGATGACGTCAGCTGAAGACGATTCTTGAGGCATACTGTCAATTTTTTAATCATTTAACAAATCTAGACTATATAAAAAATATCTACTACACCTAAGTAAAGCTTTTAAAATCATGCTTTTCACTGGAAATTGTACCTGTTTTTATTAATTTATATTTAAGAACAATTTAGTATAAATGTCTTTGTGTAGAATATCAATGTAAAGCACTTATAGCACATAGCAATAAATACGTATGTGTTTCAATTTTTTGGTATAAAACCGTTGAAGTAAGAATTTATTGAATCACTAAATGCGTTGGGGTGACCGGAGTTTGCAAGGGGGAGATGCACTTATTGATTTTACATTTAGAAAACTATTCGCTCAAAAGCGGTGTATTTGCAGATTATTTCGTATGCAACATACATTTGTTGATGGTTGTTTCCACATACTAATAGTTTTTCTGCCTCGGCACTGGCCATTTTAACCGTGGATAATTCAACACGTGACTTTGAATTCTATTGATTTCAACCCCCGTTAAAGTGCGCATGCTCATTAACCGCAATTTACGGATTATGGTATCTTGACCTTTCATGGACCATTACTGGCTCACTCTGATCCAATGATATATGGCTTTTTTAAATGCTTTAAGCCACGCTCCAAGATATCCAAAATCCACCCAAGAAATTTATGAGACTACTTTGAACTCTTTACGTTTGTGCAACATAAATTTAACCGTTACCCTCTTTAAAAACTTTGCGAAATATTTCCAACATTTAATTAAAGAGTCGTCACAATTTATTAATTTTTACATTGTAGGTACTTACCCTCGAATATCAGTATTGATTTTTATCAGTAAGTCCCTCTATATGTCGGAGGATGAACTATTACTTATTTTTCTATTGATTGATTAGATTATTGGCTAACAATTTTAAACCGTTTAAAGTTGTCATGATTTAATTTTAAGTGCGATTTTCTATAGAAAATGCTCTGATTGGTTTATAGACATAATTGTCGCAACTTCAAGAATGCATTACTTTGGTTTATTTAACCCTTTAAAAAAGGAAGGCTAATAAAATAAAAACTTAGTTTTAATATAATTTATTTATATATTTACAAAATATAACATAATTGGGATTTTGTGGGGCTGCAAAAGTGTTAAATTATTTTAATAGAAGCACTGCTTAGAAACCATTACAGAGATCTTTGTTGGCACTACCTATGTAAATTGTAACATGTTGTAAAAGGCTAACAGAAATCCTCAATTATGACCACATACAGTGTGATTGGACAAATTTGTTTTGTTGAAAAAAATTTGGAATGTCTCGAATCTAACTGAGAAGTAGCAATTTTGTTTTGGGGACCAATCAGCAAATACAAAAAAAATTGTGTCCAATCAGAGCTGTAGCAATACTGGCCGCAGTGGTTATGGGCCAATAAAAAACCCTACCTATAATATACAATGTACAAAAACTATATTGTTTATAAAAATATTAACCTACGTTTTTTAGTTACCTAATTTTGATACACTTATACCAAACTAGCTGAGTACGGGTCACTAGGTTTAACATATAATTTTATAAGGTATCCCAAAGTAACTAAACAAAAGAATACACCACAAATTTGACGATTTTTTAAAAATCTATTAATAAAAACAAGGTCCCCACAGAAAAGGTTGCCTCTATATTAATTACCATATTAAGACGACCTTTTATGAAAGAACCTTGCCCAAGTGATATAGAGAATAAATATTGATAGCGTCATTGTGGAACACCCTGTGTAAAATCCTAAATTAAAAATTGTTGGTGCATGCTTTTAGAAAATAATAACAAAACTTATTAAATCAAATACTTGAAATACCTTGAAGGTTACAAATAAATCACATATACTTTTATCCAATTTTAAAAAATTATAAAACATCTTCTGACCGTCTAAGTCTCTACATATGTTATATAAACCAAATCCTACACCATATTTTATTCAGTCAGACACTCACTAGCAAGTTTTACCTATGGCGTTAATTATATATATACACAATAAGAAATCGTTTTTTAGTTTTATTTTTTTCTTCATTATAATGAGTTAATAAAGTATGTTAAAGGCATTTTCATCACCTGAATCTGTTATAATATTTAACATGAATTACAAAAATATACATTTTTTCTGTGTGTTTGTTATAACTATCATACTTTTAGTAAAACAAAACAACCTCCTGTCAAAAAAAAATAAATGCTATCCAGCAGCATAAATGCTAAGTAATGAAACTAAACCGCAATTTAATAAAAAAAAAACAAAAAATAAATGAAAAACCGTTTTGAGCAAAAACACTGAAAATTAACCGAAACATTTACTTAATCCTTTTGGGCTTGAGGAGGCTCCTTTCTATCCGGATTCTGAATGGAAGTCGTGTTTGATCTTGGCACCATCAAAATGGAACCATCCGCAGATGTCTGCAAACTGTACTGATAAGGAGAGTACTGATTCCCGTCCGGGTCACGCAAATTCTAAAAAAGAACATCACAAAATGAGCACCAATTTACGATCTGATCTTAAATAACGTTAAAGTTTCCAGTTAAATGACATAGTGAACTTCCAGAAAAAAACTTTAAAAGAAACTTACAAATGTAAAAGAAACTAGGAAAAAAATAAACTCAAACAAAGCTTTGAAAAAAACTTATACAAAAGAAACTAAAAAAATCAAAAAGGAACTCATAAACAAAACTTTAAAATAAACTTTGGAAGAAACTTTGAAAGAAACTTTGGAAGGAACTTTATAAGAAACTTTGGAAGGAATTTGGAAAGAAACTTTGGAAGAAACTAATATAAAAGAAACTCATAAACAAAACTTTGAAAGCAACTTTGGAAGGAACTTCGAAAAAAACTTAAACAAAAGAAACTACAAAAAATCAAAAAGGAACTCATAAACTAAACTTTAAAAGAAACTTTGTAAGGAACTTTAAAAGAAACTTATATAAAAAAAATGAACAAAAATAAAAAGAAACTCATAAAGTAAACTTTGAAAGAAACTTTGGAATTAACTTTAAAGGAAACTTTGAAAGAAACGTATATAAAAAAATAAACTCAAACAAAGCTTAGAAAAAACTTTGAAAATAACTTTGAAAGAAACTTCGAAAAAAACGTATACAAAAGAAACTAAAAAAATCAAAAAGGAACTCATAAACTAAACTTTAAAAAGAAGCTTTGGAAGGAACTTTGAAAGGAACTTAAATAAAATAAACTGAACAAAAATAAAAAGAAACTCATAAAGTAAACTTTGAAAGAAACGTTGGAAGGAACTTTGAAAGAAACTTATACAAAATAAACTAAAAGAAATAAAAAAGAAACTCATAAACTAAAATTTCAAAAAAACTTTATAAGGAATTTGGAAAGAAACTTTTGAAGAAACTTATATAAAAGAAACTTAAAAAAAAAATAAAAAAAAACTCATAAACTAAACTTTGAAAAAACGTTTGAGGGAAAGAAACTTAAATAAAAGAAACTGAAAAAAAGAAACTCATAAACTAAGAAAGAAATTTACATATATCAAAAAAACTTTAAAAAATAAAAAATAAACTCAAACAAAGCTTTAAAAAAACTTTGGAAGGAACTTAAAAAAAAACTTATAAATGAAAGTAAAAAAATCAAAAAGGGACTCTTAAACTCAACATTAAAAGAAATTTATATAAAATAAAGTGAAAAAAAAAGAAACTTTAAAAGGAACTTTGAAAGAAACTTATGTATATAAAAGAAAATTATTAACTTTGAAAGAAACTCATTAACTAAACTTTGGAAGGAACTTGTATAAACGAAACTGAAAAAAAAAAATAAATAAAAACTCATAAACTAAAAATTGTAAGAAACTTACATATGTATATAAAAGAAGCTGAAAAAAAAAATTAAAAAGAGACTAAACCTTGGAAAACACTTATATAAAAGAAATTAAAGCAAGTAGAAAAAAAAATCCTGAAACTTGACTACCCAGGCTTCAAATAAAATATGCTTGTATTTACCTGAAACACGTGTCGGTAGAGTTGCTGGTATTTGTCCTTCATTCTCTTGCACTCGGCAAGCGAGTACTTGTGATCATTCATAAGCCTTATCTTTCTGTCTCTCATATCCTTGACTTCGTCGGCAAGACTGAGGATCTGGTCGAGCTTCCTCTTCCTGCAGTTCTGAGCTGCGACCTTGTTCTTGCCGCGTCTACGAATATCCCTGATCAAACTCAATTGGGCTTCGCTGAGATCGTATTTGGACAATCTCTCGTTGAACTCGTCCATGGGCAGGTTGATTATATCGTCGACTGTGATGGGTACGTTGAGAGCCCTTGCTCTCTTCTCGTCTCTTGATAAGTGTTCTTCTTCACTCTTCCTGGATTTGGCGGTTTTGTCTCTGGAAACGGGCCGCTGAACGGCGCCGCTGCTCTCCGCCGGCAAATGGTAGGTGTGGTTGTGTTGAACGTGCTCGATCGGGTTTCTAGGTAGATGATGCTGTCTCCCAAACTCCACCGAGCAAGAATACTTCATCTCCGAAGCCTTAGCGCCGTCAGAGAGGCTGCTGTTCGGGGTGGCGTAAGAAACATCGCGGTATTCGTATTTCACCGGCGGATGGGCCGGATGGGAAGCGCTCGAGGTGTTGCCTTGATCCTGGAAGTACCTTTTGCCGTACATCTGGTGCTTTTTTTGAGCCACCGGCGGAATACGCTGGCTATCAGATCCGGTTAGGTGTCTGCTGGAGTAGCTGTAGTCGTACGGTCTAAATTTCCTGAAAAAAAAAACACTAATTCAACACCAAGCGGTTTAAAATCGATGTCAAAACTTACGATTGGTAGTCTGTGACGTAATGATCGTTGACTGTGTGTCCAGAGTCCGATCCCGCGTCGCACCATTCGCCATCCGATAAGGATGGTACTCTTTCGGAGCCCATCGAGCTGACCGCGCTGTCGCTCGATGTGTCCATACGGTCGATTTCAGTTCTTGGCGGACTTATTCCATTGGATGTCGAAGCTGTCATATTAATATTACCACCGCTCACTGACGTAGCATTGTTGCTTGTACTATTGTCCAGCATACGCATGGTGTACATTCCTTGAAAACGTTTTTAAATAAGTAAAAGAAATCGCTAGTCATGATATAATTAAGATAAGATATGCCGAAGTTTGTTTTATAATATTTTTAATATTATTTCACACCAAATATTCAAAAATACACCGTTATTAAATCGCGACTTTAATTCTTATCACGCGGGCAAGAATAAATGAATTCGATGACTCAACTAATTTATAGATGTTATAACGTTATATGTAACACTTTAACCATTAAATAATACGCGAACTAAAACATAAACGCGCCAGCACGCGCCGAAACAATCTACGAAATGTTAATAAACACTAATATATTTACCTATGACACAGCATTTTTAAGTGGGTACAATAAATCGACAAATAGGAAGTTTTGTTTATTACAGTGCAACCGCGTTTTAAATTACACCTTCCTACCTATGTACATAATTAGATAAAAATTATCATTAAAATTTTGGTGATAACGGCCTTACCTTCGTTCATAGCCATGTCCATTAATTGCAGATCCTCATCGTTCAAAATGGAAGAAAGAAAACCATCTGTTTGGTTCAATTCCGACGAACTATTCTGTAATTAAAAAAACAAGCACCGTAAGCATCCCGTAAATAATTCGTGTCGACGGAATAGTACCTGGTAGTACATCATGTCGTGCGTTGGTTCCAACTTATAGTGCGGAGCCGCAGTGGAATCACCCATCGGTTCGCTACTGTTGGTTAAGTTCATTGAGGTCGCGACGGCATTACCTAAGTTAGTACCACCTGCAAAACAGCCCGTGTAAAAGCGACACAACTCACTAGTTTGCACAATTTTACCCAAATTTCCGTACGCCGGCACTGTGGAATTTAAATCGCCCATGGGCGGGTTTAGGGTGGCGTTGTGCAACAGCACGCCCCTAGCCGCATCGGGGCCGTAGCCGGCGATGCCGTGGGCATGCGGGTGCGTGTAATTATGAAGGGCCGCGTGATGGTGATGGTGACTGAAAGCGTGGTGATGGATCGAACCGTCCCCAGGATTCGGAAGGCTCAGCAAGTTCGCCAAGTCCTGCCATCTTTGCTCCATGCTCACTGTCCTCACGAAGGGCATGCGGCTCTAGAAAGAACCACTTTACTTTACATTGGCCCAAATCATATCTCTTAAACATCCGATTCATAAATATCAAATCCAAATAAAAACTTCTGACATATAAAAAAATATCCAAATAAGGACTTTAAACCGGAATACATTTTTCCGAATCGACTGATAGCAAGTTAAATACACACAACTTTGAAAGAAACTTATATACACTCACAGGCAAAATAATCGATCCACACAAATTTTCGATGAATTTCAATCGCAAATAACTTTTTTTAAGTTTAGTTAAGTTTTATTTATCAAGTCACATCTATTCTTAATAGTTTTGTTTTTGGTTCACCTCGATATATTTATTTTTGTGGAAAATATGGATTTTTTAAAAAAACATTCCAATTTCCAATATTTTTCTGTATGAAGAACTAAGGTTGCTATGGCCCATCCATATGCAATGGAGAATGACAGTGACAGTTTTGTTGAATCATCCCATAATTCGACCTGTCATACACGGCTTTCAAAAGCTATCAAATTGTTTTTTGCAAATTAATGTTTAAATTTTGAGGTGTCTTCTCACTTTAAAAAATGGATATGTCCCCGTCTGATGTTGCCAGAGCAATTAATTTAATCCAGGATGGATGGTCACAGTATTACGTGGCAAGTGTTTTAAACGTCACAAGAAGTAAAGTACAAAGTGCAACATCAGTCGGAGACATTTTTAAAAGTAAGAAGACACCTTAAAATTAACACATTAATTTACAAAAAACAATTTGATAGCTTATGAAAGCTGTATGACATGTCCAAGTATGCATATAATCATCCCATGGGATGATTCAACAAAACTGTCACTGTCATCCTCCGTAGGCTATGGATGGACCATAGCAACCTTAGTTCTTCATACAGGAAAAATATTGGAAATTGCAATGTTTTTTTAAAAAAATCCATTTTTTCCACAAAAACAAATATATCAAGGTGAACCAAAAACTAAACTGTTAAAAATAGATGTGACTTGATAATTAAAACTTAATTTAGAACAATATACGGTTTTGCCACTCTACAGAGTGTCTTACACTTATGGTAAAAAACATATTTTTGTTTAAACCTGTATATTATAAACGTACGTGTATTTTTTAGTAATTTTTAAAATGTGAGCAATTCTCCATTAATGTTTCTACAATATTCTTAATATTTGTTTAAATCCGAAATCAAATAAAAAAGTTATTTGCGATTGAAATTCATCGAAAATTTGTGTGGATCGATTATTTTGCCTGTGAGTGTAAAATAAACTGACAAAAAATTAAAAAAAAAACTCATAAGGCAAACTTTAAAAGAAAGTTTGGAAAGAACTTTGAGGAAACATACATAAAAAAACTAAAAAATAAACTCATAAACTAAACTATGGAAGAACCTTAGTAAGGAATTTAAAAAGAAACTTTTAGTAGAAACTTAAATAAAAGAAACTTGAAAACAATAAAAAGAAACGCATAAACTAAACTTTGAAAGAAACTTAAATAAAAGAAACTGGAAATTGACATAGTTCCAAAGTTATTATTATTTAAAAAGATCCAAAGAAGGGATTTTAAACCGGAATACATTTTTCAGAATCGACTGATAGCAAGTTAAATACACACAATTTTGAAAGAAACTTATATAAAATAAACTGAAAGAAATAAAAAGAAACGCATAAGGTAAACTTTAAAAGAAAGTTTGGAAGGAACTTTAAAAGAAACTTATATAAAAGAAACTAAAAAAATAAAAAAGAAACTCATAAACTAAACTATGAAAGAAACTTTCGAAGAAAATTATATAAAACAAACTTGAAAAAAATAAAAAGAAAGTCAAAAAAAACTTTAGAGGAAACTTTGAAAGAAAATTAAATAAAAGAAACTGGAAATTGAAACTGCCATAGTTCCAAAGTTATTATTATTTAAAAAGATCCAAAGAAGGACTTTTAAACCATAATACATTTTTCCGAATCGACTGATAGCAAGTTAAATACAAACAACCAAACTTATATGCAATCACCCAGTAATTACAAAAAACATTATTCCACTTAAATTTGGAAATAAAAAGAACTTTTATCTGAGCCAATTTTATTATATTTTACATTTTATTAAAAGAAATTGTCTAGAGAACAGATTACAAAAAAGTGAATTTCTCTTAAAAAAACTTTACAATAAATTAGAATTTAGGAAGAAATAATAGGTTTTTGTTAATATAGGTCACTCTAAGACAGTCACAATTTCCATTTCTCAGCAGTGTTTAACAACTTATCAGCGGTGGTGCATTAGAGTTGCCCATTTAATATTATACTGTTTCTCGTAATGACTGGGTGATTCCATATAAGATTGGATGGTTTTGCACGAATTTGCATAGCTAAGACTAATCCCTTGATGCCCTGCTGGGTCTAAATGTGCCTTCTAACCCTTTAAATAATTTACAACCGTGATGGTTGCATGGTTTTCTGGAATTTCCCTAACAGGATTTCGAGATAATCTTTCTACTGTAAAGTTTTAACATTGACCAAGTAACAAGCTAAGCGTTTATTATGACAAATGATAGTGAGGTCTTCAGCCTATTCATTTGTGGTGGCTTCTATCTATTGTCAAATTATCATCATGTTTTGGAATATTGTGGGGTGTAATCGGCATTTCCTTTTGATTTTTACTACCTGCTCTTAAGAGTCAGGTGTAAAATTGTCAGGTTCTATTAGCGAGATAAAATCTATCGAAAAAGCCAATTACGTATGTTAAATATGGACTTACCCACTTACAATATATATACGTTGGCATAATAATAATTAAAAATCAAATCAATCATAATACTTATTAAATAATTTAAATTCAATTTACATGTTGCAAAAGCAATCAAAATGAAAACAAAGTTCAGTATAGGGGCAGCAAAAACAACCAATGATTAATTGTCATTAATTTATTAAGTGCATCGTGACGCAAAACACTTACTTGGAAGGCAGCCCTGTGATGGGGGTGGTGAAATTGCGGCGTTTGAATCATCTCGGCCAGGAAATCCAAATCGTTTTCGTTATCCTCCTGTTCGTTCGATGAATCCCGCCTCGAAGCGTTCAAAGAAAGATTTTCCAACTCTCTCACGTTCAAATGATCATCGGACGATGAAGCGCCGTTATCCTCCTCATCTAGTTCGACTAGACGGAAAGCTTCGTCCAAAAGGATCTCCGACAACGGTAAATCTGGCAACGGCAAATCACACGAAGGATCGCAGTCCCCGCCAGAAAGGCCGTCGCTTTGTTCTTCCTTGATTATACACTCCCCTGGAAACAATTGAATAAGATAATGCTCTCATCTCGGTTTTGGAAAGATGTCCAAATAAAATATCATCTTTCCCAAAACATGGTAAAAAAATGGTAAAACATGGTAAAATCTTTATCAAAACATGGTAAAAACTACTATTTCAATGTGGAGATGAAGACAATGGAAGACGAGTTTAGTTACAATTCATATAAGACAAAATTACCCAATTAACCGAAGATTGGTACCTTAAGCATATTAATCCAAAAACAAAATCCATCACGTATTTAATCACCAAACAATACACGAAAACCTCGAATCACTTAACAAGAACTTTATAAAGGTTCGGAGACTTCAACGAGCGCACGGAAGGTTCGATCATTCGGGACTGAAATATTTTACCTGAGATTTTTTAATGTACCCCCACGCTGTGCACCAAATTGCCCGGTCTCGAACCTCATTGGTTCCGAGCTCATCGTAAATGTGTATCACATTTTTTATTGCCTTTCGAGGGGAGTGCGCTAGATTTGGAGCGTTAAAATAATGGCTGATAATTGTTGCAAATGCAAAAATTTTAACAATTTTTGGGAAGTCTCGGCGTTTCATGGTGCTGTCTCATGATTGTAAGGCACAAAGTTTGTAAAATCTGCTTGTCATTTATTTTGAAAACATTTTAAGTTACACTGCACAATTTAAAGGAGAATGCTATTTAATATTGATACCCTTATAATCGTTAACGTCTAGAATGTTTTAAAAGGTAAAATATAAGATAAAAACATTTCTAGCCGTTAAAGATTTTTTCAGGATTGATTAAATTTAAAGTTAAACTAAATCTGAAATAATTTAAACACATATAATTTTTTTTAGCTACTTAAATAAAGTTATAATTGCATTAAAATTAATCCTCTTAATCGAAAAAGGTTTTTTATTAGGACGGCGTCTCTCTCTCTCTCTCTTTCAACTAAAAAGCTCGAAGCATTGGGTTTTCGACAAAATGGCGGACTGTCGGTTCTCTTTGATATCCCATTCTCTTTCAAGCACAAACGATTTTCGGTGATCGCCGCACGATATTATTATATTTATTCGGAATTATTTTTGACGATTAGAATCAAGCTTAATTATATTTCTCATATGAATTGAATCATGTATACATTTTTTTATACATTATACTTCGGTGGGTTTCATACCAATTAGCTATATTCTTTTGTTTATCTAATTAGTTTAAGAAAAGAAAATCATTTAAAATTCAAATTATATCGGAATGAAAATCTTTCTATTAAAAGCTGACGTGTTCATAAAAATGTTAATTTAATTAACTTTGAAGCTTTAGAAATGAACTATTTTAAACTATTACAATATATTAAACAAACGGTATTATATCAATAGTTTAGTTTCTTTCGTCAAAAAATAAAATAATATTACACGAATTTTTAAATTTAGTATCTACTTAATTCTATGACTTTGGAAGGTTACTTAAGAAATTAATTAGTTAATAAATATGTGGTATTTAATACTAGAAGTTTGGAAAGGATTACCCAACACTAGCAACTACCTATAGGTAGTATAAAATTTCTATCTCTACTACAATAATATATAAGAAGTTTTATAAGTAAAATTACTGTTCAAAATCTTATTCAATCATTTTTTTTCTACAAGCGTTCAGAAAGTTACTATTTTCCACACGCTTGTAGAAAAAAATATTTATTCTCCTAATGGAAACTGATAAGGAAATTGCTTGTATAAAAAATATTGTACAGGGTGTTTTTTTATAACTACGACACCTCTATAAAATCTTTACTAGAAGAGATATCGAAAAAAAATTAAAATCTGGACAACTTGCATGGTTTAAAAAAGTAATTTTTTTGACAAAGATTCAAAAACAAAAAAGCATCGGTAAATTTAATAAAATAGCACTGACCCTATATATTTTAAAATATTTAAACAGTTTTTTCTTCTGGTTTCAAAAATAATAATAATATATTGTGTGAAAATTATGCTAAATTTAACGCGAATCATGGTTACATGGATAAAGAACTTTTACCCTAAAACAAGCATGGAGTTTGGAACAATAATTAGCGTTTTGTTTTATCCATGGTAACTGTGTTTTTTACGTTAAAATAGGCTAGGTTTTTTATTCAATTATTAATAAAATGTTTAATTCAAACATATAAAAATTATATATTTTTGAAATTAGAATAAAAAACTCTATCTAAACATTCAAAAATACACATTGTGTTTCATTAAATTTCTACAAAATTTTCAGGGTATACTAACAAAAATACGGTCTTTAACAGCATATTTTTTATTTACTTAAAAAAAATTCCCTAAAAGTTATTTTTCGAACGTTTTTTCATTATTAAATAAAAGGGCTTTAAAAATATTTTCTCGAAAAACCCTTGAACACGTTAACTGAGATATATATATCCAAAATTTTAAGATTAATAAAGGCATTTTAGAGTTAAATTTTTTTACAGTTGTTGCAATAATTATGGCCAATACTCAGTATTGAATACTGTATATCTATTTTATCAATTTTACCAATGCTTTTTTGTTTTATAATTTTGGTCAAAAAAATTACTTTTTTTTTCAAGCGGCCATGATATACAACCTTACATGCATGTATAGAGATAGTTGAAGTGCGTCTTTTTCATTAGCGGCAGACAAAAAACTCAAAAAAGCCTAGGGATAGAAGTAAATCCATAGGTGACTCAATAAACGTCAAATAATAAAATTAATTTAGCATTTCATACTAAGCAATCACGATGTATTAATTATATTAATTATAATCGCACGGAATATTTAGTGATTATTTATTAAATTTTAATTGAACGAAATAAAGAAAAACTAGTTTATTAGTATAATATTATGATGATAGACGAGTCGCCAATGTCGAAACTTCAAACAAATGTCAGTACGTCAAAATTAATTCAAGCGCAGCATTTTGACAGAGCAGTGTTTAGTTTTAGTTTAGGCTTTGTTATCTATGGTTTAGGATATTTATCGGCATTGTAAGTAAGGGTTATAAGTTTTTTTTAGTTTTTATCAATAATTTCTAATGCTTTTAGCCAAAATTTTATACCACATGAGTTATGAGTAAATAAAATAATTCTATTGCTTATCCTATTTATATTACGCCCTTGAAAAAAAAATTGTATATGTTATTTGGAGTAGAAGCTCTTTTTGTGCTTCGTACAGTTGCCTGCCTCAGCTACGCTTCGGCCGTCAATCTCTGTACTTACCACAAAAAGAGTCACTTCTACTCCTTATGACATAATCTACTATTTTAAACCATGCAAGCTGGATTTTTTAATATCTCTTCAAATAAAGATTTTAGATACGAAAACACACCTATAACACGCGCGGAAATTGTCTTTTCCGCACTAGTTAGGTAAATAACTATTTACAATGCTTTTCAGTACTTATTTTTGTAGTACGTATACGTTATCTATAGCTAATTTAAAAATGTTCTTACCTTAAATAAGATAAAACTTTACCTATTTAGGTTTCAATCAATTTTGCAACCTAAAATTTCATCTTTACTTATTTATTTTTACAGTTAACGAAAACGTTACAAATACGAAAAATGACCAAATATGGGGAATGGTTTAATACGTTATTTTTACTACATAATAACTATCCAACCCAACCAAAAGAAAAACGTTATTAAAACAGATTTTTACGTAAAAATAACGTTAAAATGTTCTTACCTTAAATAAGATAAAACTTTACCTATTTAGGTTTCAATCAATTTTGCAACCTAAAATTTCATCTCTACTTATTTATTTTTACAGTTAACGAAAACGTTACAAATACGAAAAATGACCAAATATGGGGAATGGTTTAATACGTTATTTTTACTACATAATAACTATCCAACCCAACCAAAAGAAAAACGTTATTAAAACAGATTTTTACGTAAAAATAACGTTAAAATTACCTGTCTTTTCTCTCTTTCTAAACCTTTAACATTTATATTTTCTTCGCCCCTTTAATTTATATTTCAAAATTGTATAGCTAAAGTAGGTTATAAAGTTTACCATAAAATAAAATTAATAAATATAAACTAATTATATTTAGCATTAAAACTCAAACGCATCTTATCTTATTGATAAAAATAGCTGTGATATATCATAAAAAATCTATGCCCTCTAAATATTCTAGTGTTTAGAATAAATATTAAGTACATAATAAATAAATCTGAAAAACTTAATTTGAATAACTTCTTCATAATTGGAAGATTAGGTTACTTTTTGATTAAATTTTGAATGACATCTTAGTTTTATTTAAGTTTTAGTTTTTTATTTTTTTAAAGTCATTATTAACCGTTAAAAATCTCTTAAAATAAAAAATGAGTAATAAAACTACTTGACAAGATTTTTTACTTTACTGTAATGACAGTTTTTAAAATGATTATTATTTTAAAGGAATTTTTATAAATTTAATTTTAAAACTTACTATAGCACCATATATGGTGATTCAAAAAATCTTTTTTTTGACTTGATATCGAAAAATTGGGTGATGTAGTAAGTAATTTTTTTTCAAAATTTTATAACTTGCAGAAAAGTTAGGATTTTGAAAGCTGCATCGAACTTCAAGCTTAGGATTGCTCCAATTAATAAATTGCATGATTCCGAGAAACCATTAGTGTAAATTAAAAGATTTTTAAAAGGCTGATTTTGATCTTAAAATCGGGACGGGACAGTCTCAAGTAGTTTCAACCCTACTGCTGTTACCTGTCAACGTTGTGTTTATTTACCTTGACTAGCCATTGAAAATAGGATTTTTGACACTTTCCAGTGCCACTTCTGCGTAAAGAACGATGTTTGAATTGAATTTTTACGTACAAGTGTTTATCCACCTAATGATTTCGTCTACGGGTCGACGGGTAAATATGTCCAAGAATAACACTAAGTAAATAACGATTTTTTTTTTAATTTATTGTAATCTTTAAACAAACAACCACTATAAAAAATTATTTTCATTAAAAATTCTTTTAGGGTTTCTTTCTTTTACTAAGAACCTT